TAAAGTCAGGTAACTTCGTAGCTACACAACGAATTCAGCACGTCTCTCCTGGCTCAGGTTAACTTCCTGTCCTGCATAAAAGTACTAAGTGCACTTTCGTCTACATTTTTCATGAGAGCCATTCTAGGTTACCTTTGGATATCTCAGCGTTTTCTGTGAGGCCTCCACACAGAGAAAGAGTGACGTCGGGGAGGTCACTAGCTGAGTCAGAAAGACACTCTGTCCCGCTGTCAGCTGCTGCACTGCCCACCGACTGTGGAGACTGTGAACCAGAGTGCATCTCAGAGTCCATCCAGTGCTTCGTCGCTGCCTCAGACTCACTGAAGCAACAAAAGAGAACAACGCGTCACGATGCTTCGTTTGGTTTTAAAAATAGACCACATTCAGCTTTCCATTTTTAATTAAAAACAGGTCAGGCAGTGACACAATTAGGGGCCTCTTTCATAATCTAACCTCTTAGGAAAATATCTTGCAGCAACATCAGGTTCAAGTACATTCAGGTCATCTAGGTAGATATCCTCAGGACCCTGATGCTGGCTCCGCTTTGGGACACCTTCATTCAACGACAGAAGCATTCATCGGTTAACGTGCAATCGCAGCTAACCAGGAGACGACGGAAAAAGGGGGCCGCCGAACATACCTTTCTTCTTAGAGGGGGAGTCGCTCTGTTGGCTGTTGACAGGGGTGGAGGTTGCCACATTGGGTGGCAGGACATCCAGGGGGTCTGTGGGGGTCAGAGGGCTCCCAGAGGTTATGGTGTCGACCGATTCGAGAGGAATCACAGGTGATACAGTGGTCATAGGGGTGCGTGGCTCAGGCTTGACGATGGTACACACTGAGGAGGAGGCACCATTTCCCCTTTCAATCTCAGGCTCGTTCTCCATGGCCTCAGAGCTGAGGATTACACGGAAGTGGGTGCTCTCCGACGGGGTGATGGTCACTGTCTTTATAAGCTCTTGTTTCTCTTTTTTAGTGATCTGGATTTTGGATAACAAAGAGAAAAAAAAAAAGTTACTAAGAGGAGAGTATATACTGAGAACTATCTGCCTCTCAATATTACTGGAGAGAGGCGCTTACCCTGGTTGTTTCTGGAAACTCCCCCCAGGTCCACTGCATGTGGGACTCGGCTCTGAGCAAACTCTCTGAGGGCCTGACCATCAGTTCAGAGTCACTCTTTGGGGAAAAGGCCTGAGAAAAGCCATGACTAAAGGGACAGGAGAACAAATACAAACAATCAATAAGATGGAGTCCATTTATGTGCCCGTGGAACACCCTTGCTGATGGCTCCGTGTTCTCGTCAATACATACCTGTCATTAGACAGCCAGTCCCCATCCGACAGTGGATATCCATCAAGGTTGTGTCTGGCTGCAGGTAATTTGGGATCAATGTCCCGCATTGTGGCTACGGAGGGTGACCTAAAAACAGGGTGAAACAGATATATAATAACTAACTCCTATTTAAACAGATCTCTGCTACAACAGTGAGCATTGACCCTGAACCTACCTGGAGACATGTGCTGCTGCAGCTTCCTCATCAGAGGTCATGTCCATCTCAAAGATCTCTTCATTCTGCCCAGAGCTGGACATAGCAGCAGTCGTAGCAGCAGGTGCGTTAGCAGCAATAGCATTACCAGTAGTGACGGACATTGGCGGGGTCAGCTCCTCTCTTCGGGGGTCCCCTTTGTGCTTCTTCCTCCGTTTCTTCTTCTTTTTTGTGGCCATGGTGCTCGGAGCAGGAGGCTCGGGTGGGTCCTCTGGGTCGGCGGGGTCATCCTGCAGATCTTTTAGTGCCCTGTGCTCAACCTCGGACATCCAGAACAGGTGACTCTCGGTGGGGATTGGCGAGGTGGCCAGGTGGGCGGGGACAATCTGCTAATGCATCAAAGAGAATCAGGAGAAGGCGGGAACTTGAGGCTTAAGAAACAAGTGCAAACCAAAGCAGCATTGCTGATTCATAGCGTCTGCTCCTAGCCTGACTGAATTCCTCGAGAACAGGGCTGTTGTCACTGCTTAGTTGTCACAATGAGAGTTTAGAAAGCTTGAGCAATAGGTCACTTGTCAAATGTAGGAACTGCAGTCGAGTAAATATTTCCTCACACAAACATTTCCCTGCAGTGTGTACAGAACCATGCTGAATCTGATACGATCATCTTTAGGACTATAAACACTTCCAATGAATAAAGCCACATCCAAAAAATAAATTAATTTTAAAAAAAATAAATAAATAAAAATCAGAAACATGTACCGATGCTGTCGTCGATGTACGATAGTAAAACTATTTGCAGTGCATTCAACATCTCACTTAACTTGAGCTGCTGTGCTTTACACAGTACAAACAAATCTAAATTAAAGTTGGTGTTATTATTAACCCGCAGCAGTATTGTTATTTCAATGTAATCACATTAATCTGTAGTTAGTCGGGTACTCACATTAAGCTGCTCCGCCTCCTGGACAAAAAAGGCCTCTCCGTTGTCACCAAGCTTCATGTGCAGCTCTACTGGCTCTCCATTCACTTCAATGTCGATCTGGAAGAGCAAAAGCAATATAATGATAAGTTTGTTTAGGAAATCAAAATCATACAGGGGACACTGAAAATACCTGATGTCTATAATCAGTATGTATGCATCCATCTATATACATCTGATTATGCCATTTTAATTGCTAATAATTTGAGTTTTGTTTTATTATACTTTCAAAATGACATGTCAGGCCACACTTTAGCTACTTACAGCCCCATCTTTCTCCCGGGGCTTTACACAAAACCTAATAACTGTATGGGTCCTCTGGGCTGGCATTCAGTCAACCCTGCCAATAGAGCGGGGACATTCATGTTTGCCAGGCAGGCAAACCCCCAGCGGACATGAGGCTATTCAGAAACTCGACACCAGAAAAGCAAAAACCAGATCACGTCTGGCAGAGACTACAGAGGAGGCAGAATTTGACTCACAAGTGGCCAGGCTGAGTCTGACAACCTGAAACCAAATCATCAATATTAACTCTCAACTAAACAGACCAACATCATGTATCCCCCCTCTCTCTTTCTATTGCAAACAGTCATGTTGTAGCTTTTCCCTTTACTGCCGGTGTGGTTTCTCAGCAGCCTCAAGATGTAATTTCAACCCCTCAGGCTTGCTAAGGGCAATTTATGTTCGCGAGTGATGGCTGGGAATTTCAATAACCAATTAATCAGGAGCCAGAATAAATGAGAGTCCTCTTCAACCTCTCACAGCCGGTTACATTCACTTGGCCGGGTTGTGGATTTACAAACACCATGCTGGATTACTGGAATTACTGGAGGCAATGGCTGCCGGCAGATGTTTAAAATTAGGGCATATAATTGGGTTGTTTCTCTCCGACGGAACGACCCGAAGTAACTTTTGAAGTTACGTTAAGTCTTAACTTCTGACCAGAAGAACGGAGGAAAAATAAGAACTACTTAAGCATAACCGACTTATTTTGTTCGTATTCCAAATGTTTTAAGAATCAGAAAATACTTGGGGGGAGAGAAACATTGGCAACCAGAGGTACTAGTTTATGGGCAGAGACACACCATCCACAGCCAAAAATGTATTAGGATTTGGCTGAAAACTATAGTTTTATTCTCACTCTGAAGTTTTGAGAAACAAATATGAGAGAACACACACCTAAATGATCCGATAAGTGCTCTCAGGGACACATGCATAACTGTTTGTTACACAACAGCCCTTCACGTTGAGGCCTTCTTTTTCTTCACGTTTCCTCCCACGCATTCAAGTTGTAGAGCTGTTGCCATAGGAATCCAAGCGTCAATCCCCCACAAATCATCTCCCACTCTGATCCTCAAGCAAGTAAATAAGCCTTTTTTTCACCAGTCAGAATGCACCATTTACTGTTCTAAGAATGGAAGTCATGGACAAGTTCACCATTGATAGCGATGCGGTGGGAAAACACATGATTGTAATTCCCGTTTTATTTTAGCCATTACTAAACGCTAACGGAATATTCAGAATTGTTATTCAAAATTATAAACTCAAGTAACCTCAATTTTGCACACGAGAAAGGTTGTGTTGACTGAGACAAAAGCAGGTTACAGACCTCCGAGCAGATATTTAGCTCTACATTTACTTACATCAACAACAGGCTTAGCTTGCTCTCCCAACCCATCAACTAGGCCAAGATGTCCTTTTCTCAGGTGAGAATTGAGCACTAAACAAGTACTGTTATTCCTGAACCATGATTAAATTGGATCTTATCTCCGAGCTAGGAAAATATATCATCAAGTCAACTACTATCAAGGCTGGAGAAAAGCCCAGAACATCCCATCTATGTTCTGCAAACAGACCCAAACACTTCCCTGAGTGGTTCAAAGATGATAAATTGAAGCCATTAATTGCTGCAGAAGCCCCTCGACATGCGAATGGGTAACCCGACTGGGAAATGAGGCAATCTATATTCAGCGAGGCATAGAGACGACCCAAAACATCGATCCTTTTCCATTTAAACGTTCTAAAACTTATGAATCTCAAAGAAATCAGAACTTATATTCAGTCTAGTTTGCTCAAAGACAAATGGCCCAGAATACACAAACGGGTGTTTTTAAGTCACCAATAACAATAATAAAGCGTGCCATCATCCTGTTTAGTACAATATTACGCTGCAGAATCACACAGACCGTTTACAGTTTTTGATCACTTTGCGCAAATATATAACATAAAGTAGGCACATCCCAATTCTGTTGAAAGGAAGGCTAACGTGACCGTACGCTCAGGGAGACGTCATTCAGGCACAAGCCTACACCGTCCTGTAAAGTGCTCTAATAAAGTGAAAACACTCGTGTGGCGGACAATTGGAGTATACAGCTTTTAGCATCGTAAATAATCTTGGTCCAAAACGAACACGTCTGAGAACGCATATCACATGACCATTACCATATAGCCAGTTGCAAAAACAAAAAAAAAAAAAAAAAAAAAAAAAGAAAATACTACGGAGAATAACAGCAATGAGGAAAATTAAGATGAGAGATTTTTGCTTCTTTGCTTGGTGGACCTGTTGCTGAAATGCAGTCAAAGCTGCAGCAAACATAGATTGGGAGACACAGACACTAGCATAGATCACAAGGTCAGCAATGCAATTCCTGTAATTCGTTTTCCATGTTGAATGTACCACTGGTAGTCAAGGCTGATTTTGTTTGTTTTCTTACGGAGAAGGGTGACCTGATAGAGGCGCAATGAATCAAGGGAGGACACGTCACGACTGATAAGCCACAGCACTCACAAAAAAGCAAAATAACCACCAACACCTGAAGAAAAAAATAATTCAACTTGGGTCTCTGCGTCATCTTTGTTAAAAGTCTCAACCTCCACCCGTCCAGACTAAAACGTAATCCCGGAGTTCTAAAACAACAGGGTCAGGAGCGTTTTTAGAAGTCTCTGTATTATGGGGTTTGAAAACACCGGAGTAGTGTGGCTGCAAAAGTTACACTTTTAAAAAACAAATATGTGTTAGTGTGGATTTAGCCTGAATTAAGAGTCAAGTTACCCATTTAAGAAAATCTTTAAGCAATCTGGATTAGTTTGGACACAGCCATTAATAAACAGTTACTGTATAAAGTTATCTTGAAGATTGAATTTTCGTACAGCTTAATTAAAGTGTTCTTCAAAAGGGGAACGAAACATTTTGTAGTTGGCACACACACTTATATACACTCAGCTTCTCAACTGTTTCCTTATTCATAAACATGGACGTGTCTTGACATGGAGCATTTGAATAATTACATGACTTCCACATGTCAGTAAGAGAACACAAAAACACTGTTTTCAAACTTACCACTTTCTCCTTGGAGCGCAGTACACCCAGCTTGCCAAAGCGCACATGGAACGGTGAGCACTGGTAGGTGCCGTCCCTCTGGCGGACCACCACCACATCAATACAGCCCGACAACGTGGCCTGATTAATGCCCTTGTACAGTTCTTTCACGGTTACCAGCACCTGACCTGCCAGCTGGCCCACGTAGTTCATGGTGTTTGCCTGGATGGGGGGGGGGGGGGGTACAAAATATTAGCCGAGTTAAGGGAAAAAATACAGGATGAGGAAGTCCAGAGGAGGAGACAGTTTTGGCTCATACAAGTTGTGAAATCGAATAGCTTTCCACTTGACTTAGCACGTTCTCAGTCTATCTTCTGTTGTCTCTTCTTTTAAGCATCATCTTCTGGACAGATCCCTCTCTGCCCTGTGGTGTCTGTTATGTCCTGACCTGTATGCAGACTGCCAGAGTGCCACCGTCACCCTGTCACTGGCCACTGTCCAACATGAACAACATCAGAGAGGGGGGGCTGAAACAATGAAGAGACAACCTCACATCGAGTTCACAGTGCCTGTCTGCAATGGAGGCAGCTGACTTCCTGTTTTCAAATACAGTACTAAAAGAGCCGTAGTTCTATGGCTATAATTAGACGGACGAGGATTGACCCTGCACATTTACTCAAAGATTGTAAACTATTTAACAAGTTAAAGCTACTAAATCAAAGAGAACATTCCACACAGGCCTCAGCTAATCACACAAACTTTCCAGGCCTTCCCGTGGCCTCATTACTGAACCAGATTATTTGCAATCACTTCTGGGCACTGCGTGCTACAGAGTGCATATGACCATTACCCTAGCAAACAGGACTTCTGGTTTGTTCAGGTCAGGGTCTAGATTAGCTGGTAAACATGTCCCCCTTGTTGACTTCATTGGGTTTATGCAACATGAAATGTCCCCATGTCACACTGACCTTTTGTTCAGAGTCGAGCCCTGGGGGGTGTAGAGAATAGGGGCATTTGTGCAAGGGTGGCATCGTGGAATATGGGAAACTGGCATGATGTGTTTTACCAGAGTGAGCTAATGAATAGACAGCAATAAAATATTAACATGCGGGTTACCCAGAATAATTCACACGTGTCTAACCACACAGGAATCAAATCAAACCACTGTAAGCCGACAGTTCAAAGGGTTCAGATGATTTGATATGAGGCCTGTCAGCAACAGGAAGCTCTCAATCATCTCAAAGAACTCCTCCCCAATGTAGACAAGGTGGATGGAAAAACACACATGCCTTTGTTGACATTCACTACAATGACACTCTTCTGGAAGATAACATGCAACTACAATCTGAAGGAAAGTAACCAGTCACAATAATAAAGTAAAAATATTTTTAAAGTTTATTTTACTATGACTGCTTGTATGGCGGAACAAAGTTCTAAACAGAATACCAATGTTATGTGTTGGACTTCATACAACCAGACACATGGTTCCTTCAAATGACTTCAATGTGTTATTCTGAATGACACCGAAAACTGAAATCTCAACAAGCCATTCAGTGGAACATTTTAAATATGTATAATAGATTTTAATCTGTCAAAAGACACTTAAAATAAACAACATTAACAAACAACTCCATGATTTCAACCGATGTCCTTATTTGTATAGAAATATGAAACAAAGGCAGTGCGATTACTACCATCTTCAGTTATATGTAGTAGTCAAAAGTTTATGTCTACCGTGTTCCCCCTTTGGTGTACTTTTATTATGGTGATCAACGCTGGTACACACAAAGTTACTCAAAATGCATCGACCAAGTAGATGAAAACTGTAACAGACAGATGAAGCCTTTAGTCTCAGAGCGACCAGGGAACTCAAACAGTCTGGAGCATAAAAAAGCAACACACCTCAGATGCTGAATAATTTCACTGTGCCACTGTCAGGGCTAAAAAAGGTTCACATGTGGCAGGCTAATCGTCAATTATTTGTATGTTTTTTTTTTCCTTATCGGGATTTTCTGTATTTCTGAAAACCCAAAACAGTCTCGTGATAAACTTTCACTTTAAATTTTGACACCACAGAAAGTCACATTGTAGGTGCACCAAGTGCGTAGCTCCTGTCCTCTCGAAGTTTGTCATAACAACAAGGCTCCAAATACCTATTAAAAAAAAAAAAAAAAAAGGTAATTATATAAGAGGGAATATTCTTAATTAAAAGCAAAAATACACAGGAGCTGCCTGGAAAGGCGCTACTGAATTCAGTTATCTTGAACACAGTCCCTAAGACAAACATGCTGTACCTGCTGCTACCATTAACTTTTCCTTCTTTCAGTGTCAACTCATAAGTAGAAGCACACAAAACAAGCAGCTACTCTATCAGACCCAGAACTACAAATTACACCGGACAGCATTGGTATTTGGATAAGAAATGACTGGCTGATTAGACAGACGATGCAGGCTTCATGACCCTGCAAAAATATTTGAGACAACCTTAAATACAAACACTTCACCGGTGTCCCCACCCTCTTCTTTTATAGTCCAGCAAAAAAGCAGTCATGAATGTAGCCCTAAAACAATACCTGTCAGGTATCAAGCCACGATGCTTGGTCACAATAATAAGCCAATAAATCCAAGTAACCTGCCAAACCAAACAATACAGAACAGGATGTCTAACAGCATAGAATGCCCTCAAGCAGCACTGACTCACCAGGGACCAAGACAACTTGAGAGAGGACTCCTCCTGTTCACTGGCATCTGTGTTGTCGTCTGTGTTGCCTCCCAGGAGCTCCCTGTCCCCCCAGGATCTCTGTCTCTTCATCACCGTTAGTAGATTACTAGCTCTACTTGACCCGCCTCAGGACACTCCACTAGGGCCGATGTTTTCCTCCCACGGATTATGATGATGGTGCATTTCTGCCATCCTGAATCCGATCTCAAATGTGGCCCACCTAATCACGTTGGAACAAAGCCTCACGAGGGGTAAATACCAGTACACCGCTATCTGAGGCGATTGCGCAACGCTGTCGTAAACTTTGCCATCCTTCATCTGGGCTATTCTTTGCAGGATCTGCTCGATCCAGTCAGCTGACAGGACACAAAGGGCTCAGCCAACAGGACGGCCTCTTTAAGACGGCGGTGTAACGCTGATAAGGGATAGCGGATTCCTGTGAACTGCTACTCAATGTTTTTCCCTGATAAGGGTACAAGCTCAGGGGGGGAAACATGCAGTCCTCTGCAGCGTGACGTTCTTGCACAGTCAGTCACATGTACGATGTGATCGTTGCTGCGTGTGCTTGTTATTATGCGTGATTAATCAAATGATAGATTGGCTGCAGGAGTCGACCAACCAATGGGACGCATTGGACTTCAACATGTTGCCGTTCTGTCGCTCATTACCCTTGAACTTTTTGACACACCAAACACGTGATCGCAAAAATTAACAGGTGAAAGTTCTGTAAATACCAAAGGGATAATCTCTGTGGGGAATAGTCTATATCAAATATAGCTTGCTTAAATTAGCAGTGCTATTTTAAATCGTATCGATATTCATGACATATGGAATGGGTATGCTCATGAGACTGTAGTCCACGCAATGATGAATTCAAACGTGTTTTTGTCAACAGGAGGTTGTCGCTGGTCCGTCTTCCAGCGTCTGCCTGCCTGGTTTATCTTCTAAACGAATGCTTAGATGAACATAATGCATGAGGCTCTTCCAAAAAAAGCCTCATCCCCACTGTCCCATCTGCTAAGCCTTTTGTAAACACCATCAAACCAAACACACGGGCCTACTGGGTGAAAGGCTGTTGGTTCTGGCCAACCAGACAACACAAGGTTCATGTTACACTCTCAAGTATTAAGTTACAAACTGCATCAAGATGAGCCTTCTTGTTATGTGTGTAACATAAAACATGACAATGACAACCCCAGACAGCCAGGCTTTTGTGTTTACATATTATGCAGTGCCAGAAAAACAAAGCTTTTTGGATGGAGGTTACAGAGTAATAGTTAGAAAGAAGAAGTCAAAAAGCACTTTACAGTGCTTGTTTTTTCTTTTAGGTGAAGGTACAACAAATGTAGAAAAAGAGGATCCAAATGCTTTTCGTGTTTGGTAAACTGCAATTTGTTCAATCTTTGCTGGTAATTTTGTAAGCTGTAGCTGGTGGTGCTGATGCACTGTAATGTATTTTACTGGTAAGTGTTTTAAATATGTAGTCTACATAACACAGCAACATCTCATCAAACTGCAGCCTACAAAAGGACCATGAATTAAACACCTCTCAGTGTAAACAGCTTAAACAAGAACTGAACAGTCAGGAAACATACACCTTTGTTTGACTGCCTTAGTTTTAGCCAGTAAACATAATATAAAAGTGTGCAAACGAGATCAAATGTACTGCTGTCATTATAGTTATCAAACTGATTCAAAGTATTTGGGTTTTGGTAGTGACTAATTTGAACGTCCATAACTAAGGGACAGTATCAGTGTCGGACTATCTCACATTACACACCTAAATAAAATGCCTGGGGAAGAAATATTAACAGACCTATTTGATAAATAGAGGTTTTTGTAAATTGTTTTTTAAACGCAACCACCCACAGGCAGGTGGTGTATTTGGTGAGGTGGCAGCACTGCTTTCAAGACAACACTTAGAAACGTCAGCAGTTAACCAACTACAAAACGTGAATTAACACAACGCACAAGCTAGCTGCATTTCGCAGTTTTTGCGGCTAAAACAAATGCTAATTTCGGAGATTAAATCTGCCGATATATTGCTCGATTGTAAATGTCACCCGCAACGTTAACACACGCGTTGTAGCGTCAGATGAATGGAAAACACGGAAATATATGTTGACACAGAAACCAAAACGGAATTTGAAATAATGTTAACTGTGTAGTGCAATGCTTGACATTCGTGGATATCTAAATCATAAACAAGTGGACAGAAAATGTCGACAGGAAAAATTAATGGAGACGAGGCTCAGCTAGCAGCTAGCTTTAGCGTTAATGTTATCGTGGGGTTACCGTTAATAGCAAACGGTTAGAACGGTTAGCCGCGGCTAACGGCAGGTCAAGGGTTTTTAATGAAAAGCGACCACGTAAATGTGTTAACGTTACGTGATGAATGAATTACCCGTAGCTATGTCTCCCGGGTTAAATGAATCCACCGTAGCTAAAGTATGTTAGCCAGTTCCCAGGCTAGCTAACGTTAGCTGACGGATAACGTTCCTGTCAGAAATAAGCACCCATCAAACGGGTTGAAATCATCACATCGCTGAATATTTACCTCTCGGGTTACTCCAGCGGGATCCTGCCGACGAAGCACGTTTGTGTCTTCAGCGAGTCCCCATATTTGTGACCGTGAAACTCCTCCAGAAGAGACTCCTGACGTGTCCGCGTCGTGCCCCGGGACCACCGTGGCTGACTGGTTTCAAACCAGCTGAAGTTGATGGGACAGAGAGCCGCAGAGTGGCGGCGCACTCACACGGCTGGTGTGGCTCTTTTAACCAGGGTTAAATTAGCTTCGTAAACAATGTAGTTAAACTTAGAGCTCCGTCGTTTTATTTAGTAGTACTTTGGGCAGGGCAATCCAGTTTGGAGGACATTTATTGACAGATATTACACAAAAGGATTACATACGGGTGAGAGGTAACCTCAGTGACATGTCTGATGCTTGGGACCTTTGGCTTCCCCTTTAACGACCTATTGTGGGCCCAGCACCCCACTTTGGGAACTCGTGATGAATGGCACCAGCAATGAATGCCGGCACAAATGAGATGCCACCCTTCCAGCAGCTGTTTTCTAATAGGCCATCATTAACAACCCAAACTCTTGAGCTTGCTGCAAATTAAAGTATTTAACTCTAATGAAGGCATTTTTCCTCAATAAATTAACTTTTAATATGGGAAATGATATAAAGACAAAGGGAAACCTCTCCAAAGCATGGGTGCCTTTATTACAAAGAGTGACCTGAAGGGAAAACAGTCTATGTTTAACTTGTCAATTAGACACACAGCCCAACAATGCTGCAGAGCAGTTTATCTTTAGGTTTTCATTATATTGGACTGGAAATACAACATTCCCCCGCCTCTTTGAACACATTTCTATGACAGCGTCTGACACTCACAAGTTCTGTTGAAAGACCTCCAAAGGCATGCAAGTCATGCCCGTCCAACATGCAGGCTGTGTCTGAAATCCTAAATGAACCCGTTTAAACCGGGATCTATTCTACTCAACATCAGGGTTTACCTGCTGCTCCTCTCCTACAAACTGTTCTATTCATAGACACTTGCAAACAGTACATCGACGACGAATAACACACATGCACACAGTGCTATTTAAACATAATACCAGTTTAAATAGACACCAACAGCTCTACACGTGACATATCCACTGACACCTTTCGTCCAATCTCTCACAATACAAAGCAAGTAGCTGGTAGGAAGTTCATGACATCAGTTTTTTTTTTCCCCCTTTATTTTTTTTACATTGCATAACTTGACTCGGTTTCAGAGGTCAAAGGTTTTCCAGATGTAATACTGTAATAGTTTTAATAAAACTGTGTTTTGTTTTGCTGGCCTTCATTGCTAAAACAAAGATGAATGATTCAACATTACATTTACTGGTCAGAAGTGACAGAAGACAAGTCAAGAAACTACTAAGCACACTATTTCCTTCTCTGTATCACATTCATTGTTTTCCTCCGCGACAAGCGATGCCCAAAGCTCTTTAGCCCAGCACATGAAAGAGGCACGAGGAAGCAGCTTTATTAATCATTTATTTAAACTGCTCAGTGCACCGGCATGTGCCGGGGTAAAAATGCTTTGGAGATAGCCCAGTCCTTCATCTTTTCTGCTTTATTTCATTACATTCTTCCCCTCCTTGCTCTCCTCATCGTCTGGGTTGTAGACGCTGACGGTGAACTCTCCAGCCTCTGTGCCGTACTTGTTCTTGACCATGAGGGCATATTTGCCAGAGTCAGCCGTGGTGACGGCGGTGATTATGATGCTGGCAAACTTGCCTGCCTCAAACTTGAGTTTGTGGTGCTCGTCAGACACCAGCTCCTTGTCGTTCTTCCTCCAGCTCACCTCAGGTGCGGGCTCGCCCCAGACATTGCCAGTCAGGTTCAGGGACTGAAGGGAATGAGAGGAGTGCAGAGGTTTAATGTGTGTCATACGAATCTGGATTCCACAGAGTGCAGAGGAAAGAGACGCTCTAATCAATGAGATAACGAAAAAGATAGAGGAAGGTGAGACAGAGAGTGTATTAACACGCTGAATATCGAATTTATTTACCTTGCCCTCTTGGATCGCAACAACATCTGGCAAGCCTCCAACAACACGAGCGCGATCTAAACAAGAAAAACAAAGAGTGAGCCAAGAAGCAAATGTCAACCATCAGTCAGTCAGTCAGCCTGTGGAGCAGTTGCCTGTTGACAACATAATATTAACCACAACTGACTGAACTGGTAAGTGAACCAGCCTTCAATAAAAACCTATTACAATATTTGTATATCTATGCATTATTGATATTTTAAATAAGTTTTGGCTGGAAATGTCCTTTCTTCAAGAAATATAGCGACTTAATTCTCCTGGAAAACCATTTCCCTTGAATGAGATCTTGACAATAAGTTGAGCAACACACTCATGCATCTTTAATACCACTGAACCCAAATTTAAAATGATAGTAAAACTGAAATAGCTTTTACGGCCAAAGAAATGTTACATCACGTCTCATGGGAGGAACCCAGAATTAACAACCACTTACTTCTCTCGGCGATTGCTGCCGCCCTGCGAAGGGAAGGAAGGAAGGAAGGAAGGAAGGAAGGAAGGAGACGGACATTGTCAGAAGCATCTTAAAATGATATCACAGGGCAGAAAGATTGTAAACATTTTGTATTCTAAAAGCCATACAATTCCAGGAAAAGATATTTTGAGTGCCTCTGAAAGAACTCACAAAGTACATAGAGTCTATTTTAAGTTTGTGATGACAGTAAGTATTTCTTTGTGTAAACATCCTCTTCTGACAGAATTACACAACGGAAGAATTGAGTCAGATGAGTTTATTTACTTACTTGAGCCTTTGGAATTCTTCAAATGCCTCTTCCCATGCTGCACCAGAAGAAGATCAACATATCATTATTAATAGTAAGATACAAAATAGCCAAAGTAAATGGGACTTTCCAGCACAACATCCAGCATCTTCCTTGTTTGACTTTAAAAGTTCCGCTCACCCTTGCCAGTCAGATCGAAGACTCTCTTCACACCGTCCTTGCCATCGAAGACGTCTATGGTGTATTTGCCTTTGTCCTTCTCAGTGGGCTCATTGATCTTAAGCCAAAGCTGCTCTCCTGTGAATCCAGACTTAACTCTCTCTGAGGCGGCAATCTTAGAATCTCTAACGGAGAAATGGGTAACACAGAGATCAATTAAAGCTGGTCTGTGCACTGAAATGCAAGATTCAGACAGGAGAGTCTGCACAGTCATCCTTGTATTACACCAAAGTGAGAGATCTGACACACGTGACCTGCATCAGTAGCAGTTGGTGAGATTTTGTCCCCATCTGTGGATTGTTTTCATATAGTTTGTGAGAAGATTATGCACAGAGACTGACAATTATAGTCAAAATAGTCCAATTTAAACAATTTTTTACAGTGCGATATTAGTGACCAGAAAATAATTAGCTATGGAAGTGGGAAAAAAAATGATTATGAATGTAATGATTCTCCCTCAATTTCTTTACTAATTGGTTACAGACATGTAAATCCACCCTAAAGCTCTTTGAGATTTGACACATTTGAAGGTCTTTGACAAAAAGCCGTTTCTGTCCGAGCATCACATGGCTGGAAAACACTGGCAACTAATTTGAGAGACTTGGATTTGAAGAAAGAACTATTCAAACATGATAATTGAAATATTTTGTGATATAATTTGTGCTTCACACTTCCTTATTGACAATACATCTTTTTAGTCCTTTAGGATGTTTAGTCTATTGTAAAGTTGTCTGTTTTTTAATTGATTTTAGGTTTTCTTTACGGTATATGTGCTTTGATGTTGTTCTGTCTGATTTTTGTACGTCTTCTTTTATTTTAATGTATAACATCAACCTACCCAAAAACTGCAGGGGAAAATTAGCATTGATTTACATCATGTTAATTTGTGTTGTCCCTGATAGAAAAAGAAAGCAAAATGAAGCAAAGCAACTATTTTATAGCAGCAGTGAAATTATTTCACACAGTGTAAATACAGGCGTATTTTTTATTTATTTTTAACTCATGATCCAAGTTTAGTAACATTTGCATTAAGCTACACACTTTGTGCGGGTTGTGTTCATACTTGTCTGTGCCTGTGTATTTCATGACAAGTGCACATGTGTATGCCAGACAGGAGATAGAAAAGGATGTCAAATATGTTGGTGAATGAGGTTGTGTTTACATACTTGTGGAGCCAACCAACACGCTGCTCCTCATTGTAATATGTGACCATGGAGTAGAGGATGATGCCATGTTCAGTACTGGTGACTTTGATATCAGAGGAGGAGTTGGCTGGAGGGAAGAGAATGAAAGGTGTTTATCTCCATGCCATGGAAACCATATGGATTCATGGTATATCATTAAATATTAATTAAATAAGTATATATTTCAAATCATTAAATGTTTTAGTCTAGCTTTTAATAGTTCATGGAAGAATACTATACATGTGCACATTCTGCTGGTGTTTTTCTAGTGAGTGGTGCTTTATTGCTGCTTGAAGCGTGATGTTTAATGACTCACCAATAACCCTGAACAGCTCATTCATTACAGCTTGGTATCCTGGGGATTAAAAAAAGGATGCGAACAGAAATTAATCACCTTTTTTTTGTGCAAGACTGACTGCACCGCTTTTTCAACTCACAAAATTCGTGAAAGAGACTTTACCTGCGTCCGTCAGATTGAAGATGCTCTTATCTCTGCCTCTGTCGTCCCTCAGGAAGACATCGTAAGTACCTGCATCCGCCTTGGAGATCTAGAGTTTGAAGTAAAAGCAATTTTAGTATCCTTGAGCCATGCCATGAATTATCTTCTAAATCAAACAGAGGGAAATACAGTATAGATCTTGGGACATATAATAGACGGTAGAACGGTCAGACAGAGACCAACTAGGCAGAAAAGGCAAGCTTTTCTCCTGCCCGGGATGCTGCAGGCGTTAAAAGGGAAACATGAAAAAGGTGAGGTGTGGAGGACACACAGACAAATTATAGAACTTATGGCAGCAAGGACTATGTCCAGACTTTGGGTCTTGGCGGTGGGGGAATGTCCTCTGCAGTTGGCTTTTTTCCTTCTTTTGTTTTCGGTTTCTCCTGCTTAATAACCCACTACAGGTACCTTGAAACATCAATATAACTGCATTGGCCCTGAATACCATTAAAAAAAACAGCTTTCCAGTTTTAAAATGTTTGAGTAAATTGGCCAGAGGAGTTAAATTGAATAGAGTGTTAGAAAGTGTTTCTGAATGAATCACACAGATAAACCATATGGGCATAAATGTTGAAAAGCATGATTTATAAGACTATAATATCAAAATGTACAATATCAGAATAAGAATTAAAGGCAAAAGCTCCAAAATAGAGTCAGTTGTACCCAATGCATCTACTCCAACTCCCACGTACGACATGCTGATGTGCTGACTCCAGCAGCACTCCAGCAGGACTCGGGAACGTGAACATTTTAAAAAGTGTTTCATCATTTATGATTCTGTGTGTCAGAGAGGGGTGGTTGGCAGCGTAGCATCTAGTCTAGGTCTACGATGGAAGCACAGCTGCATCAGAAGCGACGCTTTTAGCTCTATACTCATAAAGCTCACGACTCATCACAATGTACAGCCTCAGTCTAATGGGCTGACCTTTCCGATATTAAAGGTCAGTTCGCTGTCCTTTCTCTCGATTTTCTTAGCGTTCTCATCATCCTCTGCAATCTCAATGCTGTCCTTAGACCAGGTGATCTCAGTCTCTGGTCTGACATTTCCTATCTGTGGAGGGAACGAAGAGAGACGGGATTAAGTAATGTCGCCTACAATGCAACCATTTGCGATGCTCATTTAATAGCACAACTATTTACAGTCACTTTTCTTACCTTGCATTTCAACAGCACATTACATTCTTGAGTAACAGTGAACCCAAGGTACTCGACAAAGTGAGGACCTGTGGATAGTTAATGAGAAATGATTAAGAAACATACTTGTGCAATTAGTGTTTAACTTGTGTATAGAGGAAAAGTAAGATCCCGTACCTTGTTTCCTGACCCATTCTGCCCTCTCAAATTCAGATTTCTTTTGAAGCTCCCTGAACTCTGTATAGCAAGACGTTCATCAGAAAAATCAGCTGACAAACATGAAAGTGAGGAAGTCTTCTGCTGCCCCTCAATGGACACATACTTTAACTGCAGCTAATGCAACACACCCAGTAGAGAACGGCTTTCAGCTTCAAAGGTAATCTGTTGGTTGGGGTGTCTATTCCATATCCACAATTCAAACTAATATAATGGAAGATCCGTAAATATATACATGGAAGTAAAAACTGCATTTGAGGACTTACCATCTCCAATGAGCACCAGACTGGTTGTACCCTTTGCCTTGCCATCCACCAGGTTAAAGGTGAACGTTCCCTCATCGCTGATCTCCAGAGAGTCCATGAACATTTCAATGATGCCGGTGGACTTGTCGAAGTTCATTGTGTATTTCTGGAAGCAGAAACACACAGAGAAACCCGATGGATCAGTTTGTGGAAGACGATTTCCAACTAGAACTAGGACGATATGACAGCAAGTCATGATTCCTACCTTTCCCTGAGTAACGATGACATCATTAAAGACATACTCCACTTGGCAGGCCGAAGTGCATTTCTCCACCTGAGTCCAGAAACGCACGCGACCCTTCTCCAGCAGCTGCATGGCCACTTCATTCTTGAAGGGAATAACTGATAAAAAACACATTTTTGAATCATGTAAGTAACAAAGGCTTGGTAAATACAATTTCTGAGGGAAACCTGTGTTTCTGGAGCACATTGATGGTTAATCTAATTCCTCAACTATATCTAAAAACTGTATCTGCACTTGATAAATAAAATCTACCGTCTTGATAAGTGATAAAAGAAAACGTGGTGTTAACAGTTTATGTGACGTGGTGTGATATTCACCAGGGAACTTGTGGTCATGGCTGATGTCCAGAAGACGCTTGAGACCTGTCAAGTGACAACGACAACAACAAAATGGGTCAATGTCAAAACCCTTCAGGATCAACTCCTCCACTACTAGCCTGACAGTATTTTATAAGAGCACATTATTACAAAAGTACTCACTGTCAAGTACAACAACTTTGACAGACACTCACTGAATAATTTGAGGCAACTTTCCAGACAAACACACATATACACCAGAGTGTAACAAAGGTCAATTTGATGCAGCTGTTGAAACAAGATAACAGAGACAGTCCTTCAAGTCCTCCTCACAACTTTAGTACTAACGTCACCCAAACAAATAACAAGTAAATCAAGTTTCAAGAGCACAGGAGCCGGGATGCCAACAGTGTGGGCTGACTCACCCTCCTCGGTGAGTGTGTAGCTGGAGGAGAAGCCGTCAGTGTTGGTGACCATACAGGAGAAGGTGCCCAGATCCTCCAGGGAGGGACTGTTGAAGATAGCTCTGGACCTGGAGATGAGGACACGTGGGGGAGGGGGGGGACAAGGTATGAGGAAAACATTGCCTTTGCACACAAGCCTGGAACAAGAGCGAGAGCGTCAATTTGGTCCCTGTGTGTTGCATCTGAACCTAAAGGACACTTACCTGCCCTTTTCAGTGATAATAGTCAGGCGAGAGGTGTCTGTCATAGTCTGGTAATTCTTGGACCAAACAAACTCAGAGCCCTCCTTCATCTCAGAGCACTCAAAGATCATAGAGATCACACCATCATCATCAACGTCCACATACATCTCTTTGGTGCCTGAGGAAAGGAGAGCAAATGGTTACAGTGTGTGCATCACTGAGCTCTACAAAAACTTTATTCATCTATTAGTATTGAGAAATAGACATTTTCCCTACTCTTCCAGACCTGCGTAGGAACACCATGCAACTGAATGTGTGAGTTACATAACAATCACACTCACCAGGGCGAGTCTGGGCCAGGATTGGACCTAAGACTGCTGAGGGCTTTCCAACTCCAGCAAGATTTTGAGCACGCACACGGAAGACGTAGGATGTACCCGACTTCAGCCCCGTCACCTGAATCGGCACGACAGGAGTCGAGGGGATGGATGGATAAAAGAACGCCGTCCTCATTATGCATACATCACATGGAGATACACACATGTTGTTCAAAAGGTAAATAACTGCATTTCAGTACAGATCCAATAAAACAATCTATTCATCATCCTCACCTTCATGTGTTTCATCTTGTTGGCCTTTTCGTGAGCAGCCTTCCAGCCTTCCTCTCCGGCAGAGGCCACCTTGACGTCCAAATAGTAGCCATTGACAGGAGTGCGGCCATCGAATGCAGGCGGCTCCCACAGGACCACGGCGGAGGTGTCACGGACCTCCAGCATATGAAGACCAACAGGAGGACCTTGGAGCATAAATAGAGATAATGTTCTCAAACACACTGTAACGAAACGCTGTAAAGAAAATATATTCGACAAAGATTTTCAAGACAGTGAGCTGTTCAAGAAAGGAATACAAATCCATGTGTATTTTTAGACAAACATATCAAATGTATTTGCCAGTAATTTCTACTGTAATTCAAATATATATATTGGAATGGATTGCAGGTTACATTGTTTTTTTTAAGTATATAATACATTTTTAAATGTATTCTGATGATCCCATGAATAGGCTATTACTGTCTCTGAAATGCATTGTGGCCAATACAAAGTGAGGTAACTGACTATTGTTTTAACATTTGTTTGGCTCTGTCTCTGTTAATCTTGTTTTTACTTAAAAATAGCTTAAAAGATAAATTGATCATCGATAGTTGCCAATTAATTGTCTGTCAATCTGCTCGTCGAATAATCATCTAATTGTTTCCTCTCTTATATCTACTGACCCAATGTTTTGGTGAGCATATTGTCTCTCGTACCTGCCACAGTGAGGGTATACTCCTTGCACTCCAGAGCTGAAGTAGACACAGAGGCTTTACTCACACCTGCCATGTTCATAGTGCGCACCTGGAACTGGTAGAAGATGTTCTCCTTCAGGTTCTCAGCCTAAAAGACACAAAAATGCAGATACTGAGAAATCTGAGAAGATTACAATACCTGCAGTGAATGATGACATTGCGTTTCCTTGATTCTTAGAAAAGCCAAAACTATTTAATTGGAAATTTGATCCACGGGTGGCTGAAATGAGCAAACTTACTTTATAGGAGGTAGTAGTCAATGCCTTGAGGTTCATTTCATGCCATTGTCCAACAACGCCTCCCTTCACAGTCCTGTAGTCCACAAAGTATCCCCTGACATCTGATCCTCCTGTGCTAGCAGGCTCGGTCCAGGCCAGCATCATGTGGTCCTTTACAGCCTCCAGCTGGGTCACATCAGTAGCCTTTCCAGGGACGGCTGCGGAAAAGGTTTTTATTTATTATAAGAGAAAAAAAATGATGAAGTGTGTTAAAGAAGTTCATTTTCAGCCCCTATTTGTTTGTTTTCCCTTTCATGAAAAATGTAATCCTGTACATGATCGCATACAGATGGCCTGGCATTACCCAAATATTGCATAGATCTTAGTTCTCATTAGTGTACGGTTGAACATGCTCCATGCTTTGGACACACAAGATAAAGTACTTACACTCGAGGCCAGAAGCAGGATAACTTTCACTCTACGAAAATCTCTGAAAGCCAGACGAGTCTCTCATTAGGCTCATGCTCTTTAAGAACACAATGCTTTAGTCTTCACCTTGGCAAAAAGCAAAACAGAACTCAAGCAAAAACAAATCTAAACAGAAATCAATACCTGCATAAAGCAAAAGCATTGTAAAGCATGATCTACTTTTTTATTTGACTTTGTCTCTAAAAAATGAAGGAAAGGGGAACAGCAAACTGGCAAAATCCAGTGTTAGTGATGATAAGTGAGGCAGGCTCATGCAAATACATCAACCAGCAGCCACATATAAACATTCATTAAACTGTAGATATACAGGCAATAGAGAAGATATTTGGGCAGCTAATCGATCTGAAGAGAATCTGACATAATATCTGTAAAGTAACTGAGAATAACGGTTACAAATGTTTGGTTAAAGGAAAAGAAGCGATGATGAAGGTTATTTCATGAACAAAGATGAGTTAAGAGGGTCACAGCAGAGGGCTCCAGGTCGTGTGTGTGAATGTGTTGAAGCCAATATGAGTGTACATTCTCAGCGATCATTCCCTGGACACATGAATGTTTAAAAATAGCTGGGAGGAAGGAGCAGACGGAGAGAGAGTATAGCTTGGCTGCTACAGGAAAAGTGAATAATGGAGAGGAGTTGAGAGGACACTCACAGATGGCAGCCTGCACGACCACGGCATCAGAATTGGAGGAGCTCTGGCTGTATCCAGCAGCGTTGACTGCTTTGACCCTGAACACGCAGTTTGACCCGGTAGTCAGGCCATGGCACACAAACCTGAAAGCAGTTCAGACCAAAGTGGAACGAGTCTGATTATCTTCAACTAATAGGAGCTAACCCATTGTGCCTCACTTTAAAAAAAAGCTGCTCTTAAATGGGTCTAAATAGGGACATATGGGGACATATGTGCTTTTGTTACACAGCTTATTATAGACTTATTATAGGAGCTGAGGTTGAACTTCCAAACTAATCAAAAACAAATAAATGAACCCTAGTGAGGAGTTGCTATATTAACACAACTGCAAAACTAAAAGACAATAATAAGATTGCACTTTTAGTTACAGAAAGGCTTTACATTAAAGCATAGGAAAAAAAAACAACATTTATTCATTTTATGAAGCATTAGCCCCCTTTCATAGTCAAACGCAGCTTAGCCTGCTATACATTTGGGTGATGGACGTAGAATCAAAGATAAAATAAGTCAGAGACATTTATCATTATTATTTAACCAGTATTTCATTGAAGTTATCACATTTGAACACCAGTACAACCCATCATGTATTTCAACCACAAGAGCAGCAACAATAAATGTTTAAATACACTTCTAGTTCACTGCAACCATGAGTAAATTGTGGGAGTGTACTTTTGAATTCAATTCATCTTTTTAAGCACTGACTTCATGAAGCCAGACTTTTCTTTAACTGTACATACCTGGTCTGCTTGACAGGTTTGTTGTTGCAAGGCATCCACTCATCGGTGCCCACCACGCTGTATTCAATATAGTAGCCGGCCAGGTATTTAACATCCTTAGAGGCCGCCCAGAAAACCACCACGGAGGTGTCGGTGTTCCTGGTGGCCACTGGATTGCCCGGAACTGAGGGCAGGTCTGTTAAGAAAGAAAAAATGGAAGACAGAAAGCAAGTAAGTCTAATTACAGTGAGCAAATTGGGGACGTCGTGGATTGGGATCAGACATAACATAACGCAGGAAGGACCAGCGGTCTCTAAACTAACTAAAGAGGAAATACGGCTTGACAATAAGTCGGTGATATCATGACATGTAACACCTTAGCTATAGATGCAGGTCTTGCCAGCTCACCCAGTTTATCTCCGACCGTGATCGCTCCTGTGGATACAGAGGCCTCGCTCACACCAGCGGAGTTGCAGCAGCGCACGCGGAAGCTGTAGGATTTTCCCTCTGCCAGGTCAAACAGGGCAAAGCGGGGAGACTTGACTGGCATGCCAGTGTTCACCCTCTGCCAGGTGTCTGTCTCTGAGATACACTGTGGTAGACAGATAGCCAGTAACATGTCAGTAAATAACACTGTACAGTAAACAAAGGAAAGGTCAAAAGGTGCTCAGGCTTCAACAAAACAGTCATCACATATCAGTAGTAATATAATCAAACAATAACCTAGAAGAGGCCATCGGCACGCCTTTACCCTTGCTATGATTTCCTTAGGGGACAAAATGTCTGTGTCAAAAAACTGCCATAAAATGATATATTTATATTATTTTCCACTTTTACTGAGTTAAATCAATTGAACGGCTTCAGTCCTGATCATAACATCCACATATCCATTAGTTTTTCAGACTCAAAATCTTTAAATTCCAGTTTGTTTACATAATGTGACTGCTGTTATAAAAAATAAAAAACAACTGAAAATTGAATTATTTTCTGCATTCCTAATGTTAATGGGATTGTTTTTTTTTTTACAGTCTGGGATATGTCAATGATTAGCAACTACATTTAATTTGATGCACTGCATCAAACACTTTGGGGGGTTTCAATGGGGAGCTAAGTGTACTGGCTCCAGAGTTTATTGTGGACTTATTATAGGAGCTGAGGTTGAACTTCCAAAACTTGAAAAAAATAAGAAATAAAACTCACACCCTTGCCAAAATTAATGCCACATCCATTAACACAGACAAAAGAATTGAAAACAATGAAACAGCCCCTACTGATGCATCAGGGTTAAAGCAGTGACTACCGAGCTGTTTTGGCTTGTGGCTTAAAATGAGACAATGTGTGCTTGTGACTACTCGTCCCTGTCTACCTTTTCTACTCACCTTCTCAATGTAATACATGACTCCTTCATGACCCCTCTGGACCGGAGGCTTCCAGGCGAGCACCACGTAGCTCTTGGTGGCCTCAGTGACCACAACATCAGAAGGTTCTCCGGGGACAATTCCCACTGAGGAGTCAAGAGGAAGTCGCTTCAAACAGGTGACTGTACTTAAAGTCGGTACAAGTCACGTTGGCAGGTTATCGCTCTAAGAAATGTCATACTGAGACCAAAACAATATTATTTTCAGTACCTTATTTTGAGGAATATTATAATGTTTTTTTACAAAATATGCCAAACTTTTCTCTGTTTTCCCACACGCGGCTATACAAGAACTTGGCCTGAATAATATTTAATTCAGGTTTGTCAATATCTATTTAAAGAATCAGTAAACTAGATCAGCTCTAAATCAGAGCTTTTGATACTTTAGTTTTTACGTGAGAATACCGAGACATTTCAGACAGTACGGAGAAGGTATTGAGGTCAATGCCCAGCTCTATTAGTCAGCATAAAAGCCCATGTCACTTTTAACTGCCAACACATCTGGAAGTTACATTATCTAACATTATGACACTATTTACTTTTCTTCTGTCATTGAGAGAACAGTTTAAAAGTGTCGTACCGGTGGGATCCTCCTCGGTGAACTTGATCATCCCAGTCCAAGGAGCTAATGGGCCGGCTGTTGGGGAAGAATAAAAATAAGTATTTCTAAAAAGTGCAGTTGTTGTTTGTTGCAGTGTGTCGGCAGGACTCCGGTGTGTCTCTCACCTCTGAGGCGGGCTCTGTCGGACGGATCCATGGCAACCACGGCCTCGGAGACACGGGATGAACGGCTGACTCCTTCCTTGTTCAAGGCCCGCACCCTGAAGACATAAGAATGCCCCTCCAGCAGTCCTGTGACGGGGAAGCGGGCGTACTTCACTGGGGCGTCATTACACTGAGCCCAGTGGTGAGTGCCCACCTCGCACCTGCATAGAAAACACATGTAGGTTAGATTTCTGAACACCACAAGCAACACTGTATTTCACAGTGACTGACTGACTGACGGCTGCAAGAGACCGCTCGGAACGCACGTGGGTGTTTTAGTTTAGTATCCGTGGAGATGGCAGTTTGGCGGAAATATAGGAGGAATTTGGAAATGTGCCATGTGCCTGCAGAATTATCCAACAAACCAGTATTTGCATGTAGGAGGGTATCACGGCCAAAGTAATAAGATGAATCTAAATAGTCATTTCTCCGGCAAACAATTTCTATAATAAAGGAAGCCGTCAAACCTGTCGATGTAGTATCCCAGGATGGAGCTGCTGCCCTCCACCGCTGGCTGCTTCCAGGTCACCACCACATAGTCCTTGTTGGCATCATGACAGCGCACATCCAGGGGGGCCACGGGAACCCCCTCCAACTCCACATCGGCATCTGGCATAGCAGGACACACATATTCAAAAAGGCACACACACACACACACACACACACACACACACACACACACACACACTTGTGAGTCGTGCTGTTTCTAAATCAGGCTGATCTCCATTACATACTCAGTTTCCATTTTCTGACCTACTTACGCCTTTACAGTGCTTCATGTGTGGCAGCACTATGAGAGACTAGGTTATATAACCTTGGTAACATTGAAGGGGATTCTGAAGATTCCCTGTTGTGCATAAACCTCCTGATTATCTTTTCAGATCACACTCTCTGTGGCGAATTTTCTGACATGCAGACAGATATAGAAGCATTCCTCAGAGGAAACCAAACACCTCATAGAGAGCGTTGAGTCACTTAAAGACACAGCAGACTTAAATGGTTCCTTGCCAGGTCTGTGTGTGTGTGTGTGGTGAGCTGTAATACGTTGCTTTACCTTGCACAATGACATGAAACTGCATAAATCAGCGCAGACTTTAGGGTAAGTGGCGTGATCGATTAATTCAATCTTCAATGAAATGCGAAACAAAAAAAGCTCAAAAAGCTTCATTTGAAATATCTATCAGACACCTTACCTCTGACATACACGTAAGCAGAGTAGGTATCAAAGCCAGATTTGGTGTTGACACGCAGGGTGTACATGCCCTCGTCTTCCTTGTTGAGGTGGACAAGTGTGAGGGTGGCTCGTTGCCCGGACCAGTGGGTGTGCACCCATTTAGAGGGCTTCAGTGGGACGGCTGATGGGAGTAGTCAAACACAAAAGACGTGAGACTTGCTACATAGAGTGGGTTAATTAAAACAGGTTCAAATGCTATTTCCATTGTTCTTTCTCTACTTACAGTTTCTGGACCACACGACCTCAGGCTGGTATTTTTTCACAGTGGGATAAATGATGACGGTGCAGCCCACACTCAATGTTTCGCCTTCTCTGCCAAAGGCCACTTCAAATTGATCAATGATGGTTGTTTCAAAGGTGACGCCATGCTCAGTGCAGAAACCATCTGCAGAGGTAAAATAAAGAAGCTAAAAGCACTACTATTAAAACATTAAACCTGCATTCATGTACTTTTTGGAACACAACATTAACATATTATTTCCTCATGGTAAATGACATAATCATTCAATTTTTTTCCACCTGATGAATGCAAGTCCAACATTTACTCTCCTTTTACCTCTGTTTTGGTCTCCACCAACTCCTAAGTAAAACATATCTGGCTCTATAGCTTTAAACAATAAACTGTGTTCAGCTGCCAGTCGCTAACTTCGTACGTCTGCCATTTGATGTTGAGCAGTGGATTTTTAGAGCTTGTTTGCTAAAAAAGACGTTAAAACACTGAAGCTGAAGGGGACTGTCGTCTGTAACTATGAGCAATGCCTTTTGACATTTTTCCATTGTTTTCTATAAAAATGTTGATTAGTGAACTAATCACGTGGACTCACGTGGTTTGGGATCGAGCGGGCCTGCTTCCTCGCCCTCCTGGAACCCTGCAGAGAAACATATCGTCCATTAGTCTTGTATCAGTAACAAGAGACTTCAGTCAAATAAAACAATAAACAAAAGTCAAAATCTAAAACTAGATTGCGACCAGACACAACTGTAAAACCATGTTTACAGTGGTGTAAAATCTAAACATCTACTGTACTTTAAACTTTGGCCTCTAACCGGAGGAGACGGGAGCAGCTGCAGAGAAGACGGACAAGACGAAAGGTTTACCTACTTTTGACAACGATAGTCGCGACAGAAGAAGCTTCTCCTTTCACATTGAGGGCAGAGGCGTGATACTGAGCAGTGTCGATGAAATCACAGCTGTAAATAAAAACAAGGAAGACATGCTGAATTACCGGCAACTCATTTGCATTTATCACTCTTCAGATTATTTCCAACATGAAACATTCAGTTTGGGGAAATGTAAATGTTTTGGCACATCTCGTTAATTCTAACTGACGCCGCGCCGCGTGAGCTTAACGATTACCTACTTCTTGATCTCCAGGGAGTGCATGTTGTAATTGCTCTCGACTGTGTACTTCTCGGGGTGGGCCTTGGCATCAATGATCACATTGTTTTTGTACCTTGAAGACAGAAGAAAGACAGACGGTTTTATTTTTACTGTTGTAAAGTGTAATTGCAGAGGATTGTCTGTGTGTGTGTGTGTGTGTGTTCATGTCGCGGCAGTGGAAAATAGATTTGGCTGATGACAAGAGCTTTTGGATGGAAACTTCTCGATGACACACACATGACTGATCGCCTCTCATCAGCCTCTTTTTTCTTGTGACTCAGAGAAGGCGGGGACCAGTGAACTTGGAGCGTATCTTACCAGGCAATCCTGGGCTTAGGCCATCCAGCCACAGTGCAGTGCAGCTTGACAGTCTTGCCCTCCCAGGCAGTCTGTCCGCGGAGCTTGACGATGAACTCTGGAAGGTGTGTCAGGCTGTCTGGGTTCATCTTCTTACGGAACTCTGCCCACTCCTCCATCTACAGCGAGAGAGTGAAGCACCACATTGTCATATAAAGCTCATGTAAGAGACCTGATTATTTTTGGAAAATGGACACAACCTTGTTGTTGCATATTCACAAAGAAATGAGGATTTACCGTCCTGTTTAACTCCAGACGTCCGGCGGATTCCCTGATATGCATTGTTCTGGTTCTCTTCTCCACCCTAACGTCCACAGACTCACTGGCCTCCCTGACAAAAAGGTTCCTCATGGCCACATAGTTAATGCCCTCCTCCATGACCTCCTCATCCTGGGTCTCCATCAGACCGCGAACAACCTCATGACTGGCAGACAACAAACCACCAACATGTGAGAGCAGTTCACACTTACAGTAAGATCGGAAAATATATAATTTAGTGTCAATAACTGCAATAAAAATGTACATCATCAATGTTCAGCACCAGTGGTGTCGATTACTTTACATTTAAGGACATCAAATCAGTTGTGTTTTGCAGCGTCCGCACTCACTTGGCTCTAAATACGGGAATGACATAGCCGATAACTTCCTTGTCCATGTCCATCGCCAGGTAGGTGCGTTTGGCTCTCTTGGGTAGCGGGCTGAGTTTAAACACCTCCTGCCCCTTCTGTGTCTTCACAGTGGTCTTCTGGCTTAGAGGTGAGAGACAACAGTCACTTGCACTACAAACAACAACTTACATCATAAAGTATTTCCAAATGGTGCACTATTTTCTACATACATTGTGTCTTAATGGATAAAGCTAATAATACCCTGTGTTTTTCTTGTTGTTTTTAAATCCTATGATTGCCATCAATGCATTAATCCTACTATTAGTATTGTCTGTACAGCCAAAGTCTGATATAACTTATACCTCTGCAACATAGACGTCCATTGTTGTCCACTGGGCGACACGTTTCATCATTGCCATGAACAAGGGCACGGTGGTTTATTTTGAGTCAATGTTATCAACACAGTTCTGCTGCTATAATACTAACGTATATTCATCTGCAGTTGAAAACAGTCCCCAACAAATATACTCTTTGTTCTTGTTTAATTAACATTTGCTACAAATTACAATACCCATCTGTTTTAGGAAATAACTAAGTCACTCAAAAACGATTAAAAAGACATACACCTAACAGAAAGAATGCAATGCTGCTGTGAAATCTAAAAATGAAAAGAATACTCAACATTGACGTACTCTTAATTTATAAAACTTTAGTGCTAAATTGTGCTGATTACATAAAGACAGGTTCAGACGTTACTCAGAAATGGAAGATGTATTTCTGTCCATCCTCGAAGGAAACTGACCCATATTGCACTCTGACTCATTTACCCATCAGCCTCTCGGGCCTCTCTATTGTCAGCCGGGTTTATAAGTGGAGCCGGAGCTGGTGGATATGCAGCGGGGCGGAAAGGTTCATTTTTAAAGCTCTGCTTTCATTCATAATCTTTTCCAAGTCTGCCCTAGTCTATCCATTGGGCCTAGAGGAGGAGCGGCATAAAGTGGCTTTGATTAACTCTCTTCCGGATGAAGTTGATGGAAGGAGCTGAACGCACAGCAGAGGCAGACAGATGGAGAGAGTCTCATAGAGCATTGTCAAAAAGTGATTCATATACTGCTGACTCACCAGGTGTGTTGAAAGGTAGTCGAGTGTATAAGAAAGTCAAAAGGTATAAAAAGTTTTACTGCTGCTAAAAGCAGTCTGAGAAGCTGAAGTAGGTGTTCGTCTTAAGATTTAAATAATACAAGAAACAATTGGAAACTTTCTGACAGAAACAAGGTGTAGTTACAAATCTTTAAAGGGAATAACACTGACTCGTCAAATTGACTAGTGAATGTGGATACTGGCCCAGGATTAGGACTAAGACCAAGGCGTATGACTGTTTCATGACTTCTATACTGTGTCTTTACAGTTGGCCTAATGGCAACGTCTCATGTCCCGCCTACAGAAATAGCTTTACTGTCCATGAATACATCTGGCAGCCATCCGCTACAGCTGACATTCCTTCCCTGACCCCTGTTTAGAAAGCTCTCATGGTTCCAACATGTACACTGAGCTGTGCAGCTTGAAGGACGAAGAGACTCTGACAATATTACGTGTTGACACCACATACAAGTGAATCTATAAGTTTAATGTGTTCAATAGAGTTATACTAGACTTTACTTTGATCGAGCCTCATTTGATTCTAACACAGAATGTCACAAAACAATCTGACTAAACATGTGATTCACCCCGAGTTAGAAAGTTTTAATAACTATTATTTTCTTGGTTTTTCCCATTTATTCCTGCAGCAGACCAGTTCTATAAAACTAAGGCTGGAAAGTGTAAATAAATCTACATGTGTATCTCTAAAACAATTATTTATATTGTATATTAATCTGACAACTACTTCTTCAATTGACTGATCAAACGGTTTGGCCTCTAAAATATGCTAAAGCAGTGAAAATGCATGGTGCATTTACTATGATGACGTCGTCAACAGTCCAAAAACCAAAGATATTTAATTCAATAGCATAGAAAACAAAGAAACAAAAAATCAGCAATGCTTATGATCAATTCATCATAAAACATAGTTGCTGGTTTAACGTTGTTGATCAACTTTTAATTTACTGACTAGTTGTTTCAGCTGTGTTTTATGTTCTTAATGTCTTTGTGCATTCACTGGGATTTGGATTACTGTATTTTAATATGCTCATGGATGAAGATGCTAATTAGCTCCATACTAGTCTAAGACTGAAGTAAATAAACATAATGTGCTCTTTCTGTCAAATATGAGCACAATACTATTGCTGCGTAGTATTTAGTAGTTACCAACGTGAGACTTGGACCAGACTAAACTAAGACCCTTCAGCCTTGACTTGACCACTTTGACATTTGACTTAATTAAAACTCCTGGAACAATAATAATTGTGTAATTGTGTAATTGTATATTCAATTATTAGGCCATTGCATTGAAATGACTTGCTTTAAGCTTTGTAGAAACACAATTAACAGAGGTTTGATACATATAAAGAAGTGAGAGTTGAAACTCGGCCCAAAAGACTTTAAAATGGGCCGTTCTGCAACAGCCTCAAGGAGAACAATGTGTGTTCTTATAAATATACAAAACCCTGAAAGAATCAAAAGTTGAACATCAACTGTATGAGCAGGTGGAGACAAGTAGAGAGTCAGCACCTGCTCTACGTAAAAACACACTTTGAGCTGCTGCCGCTGAACACACTTCACACCAGATGCCAAAGTACAGTGCTGAATATTTGAAAGAGGTTCGCTTGAATTCGCTCACCACTTCCGAAGTTATGGAAGCGGCAGGTTGCTTTAAGCGAAACCCTTTTTTAAATTTTTTGTTGTAGTTTTCAAATATCAACCATCTCATAAGTATTTTGGATCTTTCGCCTGCGTCACTCCCATCCTCTTACCGACGGCTGGTGGTCTTGTATGTGGAGAACGACTGCTGTTTAACAGACGACTTGCTGCTCAGGTAAGAGCTGCTCTCATACTGATGCTGCTGATGCTGCTGCTGATGATGCTGCTGCTGATGATGCTGCTGCAGCTGATGCTGCTGCTGCTGCAGCTTCTGCGTCACTTGTAATGATGTTGACATCCTGAGGGTCACTCCGCCAACTTATATGTTGACTGTTCTTTACTTAACCAGCTCTGTGAATCAATCTCATTGTTATCATTACAAATGAATTTCTGTATTGGGGGTTAGTTTAAGCCAGGAGATGGTGATTAGGTATTAGAGATGGTGAAGTTGTTATGATGGCGTTGGTTAAGATCTACTTCTAATGTGTTAAGTGAAGAAGCAGCAGGGTAATAAACATTGATTTGATTTACACTCTACGTGTTAGTTTTGTGTCTTTAAAGATTATATGAGAATTTAAAGGATAATCACCTCCAGAGGTGGAATTATAGAAGTGATGAACTTGTGATTTAATTGAAAACTATGCGTGGAGTGATGTAATCCAGCGACTGATGAGAACATCCAAAGGTAAAGATGTGTTGTGTTTGGGAATATCTTAATTCAAGGTAATTATAACACTCTGTTAGGTACTAAAGCTGTTGATTATTTCGTTGATGAATTAAATAGTCCTTTGGTTTATAAGTTACCCCCCCCCCCCCCCTCACAATTTCTAGAAGCCAGAGTCGACATATTCAATCTGCTTGTTTTGGTCGACCAAAAGTCCAAGGCCCAAAGGTATTCAGCTGTCATGAAGAACAAGCAAATACTCTCCTTTGAGAGGGAATTTCTGGAATTGTGACTGAATTAATTATCAAGATTGTTGCAGATATATTTTCTGTGGATTCACCAATCAATCGGACAAATCATTTTCAACTCTATGCTGCTCAAGTTATACAGCTTGAAAACATGAGCAGCTCACACTGGGCACAGGCCCACGTCATCACGTCTACTCAGATCTATAAGATCTGCAGTTTATTATGACAATAGACTTATGTCCTTGAGCAACTCTTACAACAGGCAGCATGTGGTGTGTGTGTGTGTGTGTGTGTGATTTGTAAAGAGATACAAAAAGTAAACTAAGACTGTAAGAAATGAGGGCACAGAGCTCACAAAGAGAAGATCTGAGTCATAGAAACGTTTAAAGTTAAGTGAATGTTAATGGGAGAGATTAGCAATACTTTTAGGATGACATTTCACTTCAATGACACATGCAGTCTAAACTACAAGGACATAGGTATAAATGACCAACACCTGGTTAGTAAGGGACAAGGAAATATCTGAATTAAATCACATTATTCAAACAAATAATAACAATAAAGAGGTTGAAAGAAAGGCCCCAGGCCTTACTGATTCAGGATTATAAAAAACATGAGCACATGACATAAACCAGAACAATTCCTCAGTATTAGAGACAAACTTGTTAATAAAGAAATATACACATACATCACTCACCACAAGAATTCACCAATCCGCAGTAGTTGAAAATGAGAGAAAGAGTGTGCTATTCCAACAAGGAGCTAAAGCAAGTTCAGATCCGGGGGGAGCAGCAGGGTGAGGGCAGCGGACAGGACAGCAGTCCACTGAACTAAAATAATGCTGCCACTCGGCAGAATGCACAAGACACCATTAGGACCTTTTAAGGCTGGGACAGCTTTAAATTTAGACCATGAGACGGCCCAGCAGAGGCTCCTCGGCTCGCCTGGCCCTCTGCTGCGAGCTGTCAGTGTGTGGGGATATCTGGTGTGTGATCACAGGTCTAAAAACCTGCTGAACTACTGCCAACACACCAGTTGAATTTAATGAATAGGATTTGTCTTCTTTTAGACGACGTGCAAAAGTCACTCAAGCCTCTGGTCTCCTTGTCTGAACCAAAACCCTGCCAATTCACCAACATGTGACCTCAAACTGCTTCAGAAGTCTCTATGTCCCTAAACGTACAGCTCAGTTTGCCAATGTACTTGTTTCTGGGTATTCTGCGGCGTGGAGGTCACTCACACTAGTTGGTCTCACTTACACGACAATTGAATATTGAGATAGAGAATTACAGCAAAAATAAACGATGAAGTTTATTAGCAAATGCTGCCACCTAGTGGTGAAACATATACACTGCAGGATTTGTCGTTAAGACAAATATAAATATAGTATGAAAATAAAAGCTGTAAATTATTTTGAGTATGGTTTCTTATCGCTATTTAACTATCTCACCTGGTCCAGTGTAAAAAACAAACAAGCAGAGGTGAGGAGGACAACATGGTACAGTCCAGTCTGTTGGCTCCGCCCAGCTCGGCTGTGATTGGTCAGTTCGGTAAAGAGGAAATAAAACATTAATGGTCGCTCTTCATCAGGCTGTGGATGCTCTTGGTAGCTCTGTGTAACGGTTACAGCCATTTGGGTATCACGCTTTGTATTTTCTGAGGTGGGTGATGTCATTTTTTTAACGGCCTCATGAAGTTAATGTTGTTCCTTTGAGTTGATGTCGGTTAGCTCGCTTAAGCTAGTCTGGTCGGTGAGTTAATGAGGTCAACGTTGGGCTAACTGTTAGCTGGTAGCTAATAACTGAAATGTGTGTCATCATTTGTTGTGCAAACCTTGTGACAGGTGACAGTAAATAACGTAGTTATCTTACCAATGTAAATTTCTATTACGCAGTTATCAATAAGTAAATAGCCATATAACTAAATTGACAAATTTCAACTGAAATCCAACCTTTGTTCAGTCGGAAGTCCAGTCCAGAGGTCCACATCTGTGAACTGGGCCCTGTTCTGTTCTACTCTGGGCTTTATTTGACACAAACCTGGGTTTTTCTGTTCAAAGATGTCTTAAAATGAATCACAAGCTGGTGTCAGAGAAACATGAGCTTTATGTTCAAGCCTGCCAAAAGTGCAGGCTCATTCATGATTAGAGTTATGATGATGAAACCTTCGTATATACAGTGGTATAGATTTTTAGATGAGTCTTCATATGATCTATATCACAGGAGAGAGGGGAGCCACTGACCGCCAACATGTCGAGCAAAAGGGCCAAGGGAAAGAACACCAAGAAGCGTCCTCAGCGGGCCACGTCCAACGTGTTCGCCATGTTTGACCAGTCTCAAATCCAGGAGTTCAAGGAGGCCTTCAACATGATCGACCAAAACAGGGACGGTTTTATTGACAAAGAGGACCTTCATGACATGCTGGCCTCGTTAGGTAAACGTAACAATGTGTTTACACACATTTAGACAGCAATAGGAAGGATAAATATATATATATATATATCATACATTCTAATGACTGTGACCATTTTCAAGGTAAGAATCCCACAGATGACTACCTGGAGACGATGATGAATGAAGCGCCGGGCCCGATCAACTTCACCATGTTTCTGACCATGTTCGGAGAGAAGCTGAACGGCACAGATCCTGAGGACGTGATCCGCAACGCTTTTGCCTGCTTTGACGAGGAGGGCACAGGTGAGTCACAAGTTGTTCGACACAAATGTGCGCTGCACTTTGATTGCCGTTTCTCATCCAGACCCAATGTTGTCAGCATATCTTTTTGTTTTATTAGAGAATGTCTGTCTCCTGTTTGTATTTTAACATCTGATGTAAAAATCGATTTAGAAAAAGTCTCCTCATGATAGATTAATCGAATCCTCCCACAGGTATAATCCAGGAGGAGTACCTGCGGGAGCTGCTCACTACGATGGGGGACCGGTTTTCGGATGACGAAGTGGACGAGCTCTTCCGAGAGGCGCCCATCGACAAGAAGGGCAACTTCAACTATGTAGCATTCACGCGCATACTAAAGCACGGCGCAAAGGACAAAGATGATTAGTGGCAGAAGCGACTCTAAATCATTGTGGGTTTCCACTCAAGTTAGAACAGCTATGTCCTGTCATTGGGCTCATGGCAGGCTTCACTGTGGTATAGCTCACTGAAGTCCATTTGTTTAAGCTGCTTGTGGGACCATACTGTACCACTGGGACCCCCCCCCCCCCCCCAAAACAACTCCTCAACCCCTTCTCTCAAAGCTCATTTGCACATCTGTATAAACACTAGGGTCTGTATAAGCTAGTTAAGATGTATGAAAAGACCCACGTGGATAAAGCTGGAAATAAAAGGAAACAAGGAGGTTGTTGTCGTGACTGTTTGGTTTTTACTGAATCATTTGTTGGAAATGAAGAGTTTCATGATTAAAGTGTGGTGTAAGCTGAATAATCAATACTCTATTCATGTTTTCAGTGGCTTTATTTTAAAACAAAGGAAAATAGATGTGATGGTTGAAAGCAAAGACCATTCCACAGTTCACACTAACGTCAAAGATGCGTGGTACACTGGATCAGTCCCTAGATTAAAACAAAAGGTGCTGGCTTGGTGTAGAGTAACACATACACACCGAATGGCTGAAGGTTTGTGGACAGCATTGTCTACTTATTTTTCTATTTATAACGGTGTGCTAGGGGAGCAGTTTTCTTGATTAATTTATTTAATCCTTTGGTCTATAAAATGTTGCCTGTCACATTTTTCTGATGGCGTCAAATTGCTTCGCAAAGCAGGAAGTCTCTGACCAACATTTCTATGATTATCAAAATAGTCGGCAATTTATTTTACTTCAATCAACAAATGGTTTCAGCTGTAGTTTGGGGTTGGCCCCTTGGTTCCTATCATTAAAATTGTATATTAGACAAAAGGACCCTGTGTGCAGATCTGGGTCCTTGCAAACATGTTTTTTTTTTGGAGATGACCTCAACCAACACCTTTGGGATGAACTGAAACGTTCTTATTTCCCATCATCACTGGTGATCTGGCAGCCGAATTAAGAAAAAGATTCCTAAAAATCGTGTGAACTGTTAGCATTGCAGATTAATGCTTATTAATGTCAGAATTTTGGCCATGTGTGTACAAACTGCTGCATGGAACACTCCACAGTTGGTACATCACAATGAGAAGAAACATGTTTTCTCTATGTAATTGTGTAGTTTGAGGTGATTAACCAGTGAATTTTACAAACTGTTTTCATTTTAACGTGGCAGTTCTATTCAGCACTATTTTAGGATGCTTTAAAAAGAGATCTACATATTTTGTTCACAAATCAAAAGCACCTGTGATCCTTTCACAGAGTGACTGGTTACAACGTCTTGAGGAGCACTTTCATCTCTCTTTAACCCAGAGGTTGTATTCCAGATGTACCAAGCATCAGCACCAATAACCAGCCTCCTCCTGTTCACAGGATCCTCTGTGATGAGGACTCTCTCTCGTACACATCAACCCAACAATAAATAGACACGGATCGCATCCACACACTTGACGCTTTCTGTACACTTTGCAGTTGCTCACAGAGCAATGTATAGCACACGATACGGGCGACTTGGTCCGCCCGCTCTAATCCGCCAGGGCAAGATTTTTCGACTGGATCTTTGATAGGTGGTCCGATATACAAGCCTCGATCTTGTCACACTGGGCCAGGAAGTCCTATTGACAGATAACAATCCCATTTAGTAATATGCACAGTGATTTTCAATTAAAACATGCTGGTGACACAAAAAAAAAAAAAAAAAGGTGTTACCTGCACAGTCTTTACAAGTCCCTTTTTCTTCAGTTTACAGTCATTGAAATTGTCTTGGATACTCTGTTGAATAGAAGAAACAATTCTGGGTTTATGACATGTTAAAAAATAAAAACCTGAACAAAAGTAAATATAAATTAATTTTGATCAACAATGGAGACAATAAGGAAAGCAACTACATATGAAAAAGAAAGATCACCAGGGTATCAATCTGCTCCAGGATCTTCATGAACTGTTCAGCTGCTATTTTCACTCTGTGGTCCAGTTTACCCAACGCCTCCGCCTGCAGGTCTTTGGCCAGGAAGCCCTGTGGAAAAAAAACGTGTGATAATAAAAAAAATCTTAACAGAAATTTCTTTCAAAATATATATTGAATAACAGATCAGACCAATGCAGGAAGACTATGAATCTTAAAAAAAACACAATTGATGGCTTACATTCTTGAGTCCAGTCAACTCCCCGTCGACCTTCTCCAGCTTTTTAGCCGTCTGTTCCACAGACTTCTCGATGTCTTTCAGCTTCTTCAGCTCGGCTTCTTCCTCGGGACTGTTCTGTTTGTGGATCGTTGGCAGTATTTGATTAAATACATATAGTCACGCATCAGAGAAATCACACGTGTAAAGAAGGCCTTACCCGTTTTCCAATCAGCATGAGTTTGCAGCCCTCTTTTACTCCATAGCTGGACAGACTCTCCTCCACGTCCTTTAGCGATTTCCCTGGAATGTCAGGATGGATCAGGCTCGGTTAGACCTAAATATATAATACGATATTATTTGAAAGAAACAAAAGAGACCCAGAGCCTACCTTTGAAGATGAGCTTCTGTGAGGTTTGAGGAACTCCAGTAGCTTTGGTGAGAGCATCAGAGAGGTCTTTGACAATGGGGCCCTTGTCTTCATCCTGGCCAGTTAATGTGATGCTGTGCTTAGTGGATCCTGGAGTGGGAGAAGTAATTTGGATTCATGCATGGCCATGTGTTATGCATCATTGTCCTCAAATAATGCTTTGAAACCGCATGTTAGTAACGTTAAAATAACTAGTAGCCTAGAGTTTAAAAAAGTGTTCATGTTTCGCCAAACCCTTTGTGTGTCAAGAACATCGATTTCGAAAGATATTATAAAAAGAAATACATCTTGATAAAATCACGTTATGCAGCTATGAAACAAAGAAAGACAGTGAAACATCCGAGGGCAACGTTTCAGTCATTTTAAGCGTATCGAGGCATAAAATGCATTCAACTGTACTAAGTTAAAGCTAGCTTCACTATAGCTACATTAGCTAACCAATTCATAGCTACTGAAACTTACACTCTTTATATATTTAACATTATCATCTCGCAACAATCGTGTAGCATCGTGCAACGTGCGTATTACCGTATGCAACTGTCACTGTAATCGTTTGCGCTGACATTTTGGTTTTTATCGTCCTTTAATCACAACATGAATCACACGGTTGGTGCTATCAGGCTATAACTGTTGCTGATGGCTAACTAACTACTTCCGGAACGGACCGGAAACAGTTCTTCTAACGTCGGTCTCAAAAGTATATATATATATATATTTTGGTAAATACTTCATCTATTTGTCGTTGTCAACGAAACGGTCGGCTACATACAAACAACATATTTTAATAGAAACTGGTCATGACAGCCACGTACACAGAATGTATTAAAAAGGTCCACACATACGGTAATCAATGTCAAACTAAATTATAATGTTTCACGACAGCCGTTCAACACCTAACTGTCTGTGGGAAAGCAAATACGACTTTGCTCAAACCCTTTACGGTTGTGCATCCTTTTACGCTGTCAGCGGGCTCTGTGGCGCAATGGACAGCGCATTGGACTTCTAGCTATACAAAATGAGCAGTCATTCAAAGGTTGTGGGTTCGAGTCCCACCAGAGTCGGACTTTTAAATATATAGACCAAAACACACCAAATGGGTTTCATGTGACTATAAATAATCAGTAATTCCCGAGTAACAAACCTCTTCTACCCCATGGAATGTGAATTATTCATGTCAAATGTCCTCATATGTCTGGTGCATGTGCAATAATACAAATTATAGGGGATATAAAACAGACTAAATGGAGTTAAATCTAGTTCGTTTGTGTGTTTTTATTTACTGATATGTACATTTTTCTTTCATAATTTCATTATTCTTTATTCATAATTAATTTGACTAGTAATTTCATCAATTTGGTTTTTTTAAAATTAAATATCTTTTGAATTCAACAAGAGAACTATTTTTATTAAAATAATTGAATCAGCTAAATCCATTGAGCAGCTCATTACTATTTTCCTTTTTGTGACAAATATGTCAGATTGTTTTTTCTGAGACAATTATAAGTTTAATTCAATTTAATTAAACATTTTCATACATTTTTAGACATAAATTAGCTTGATAAACATGGTTAGAACAGTTTAGATGTAATGTAGGACAAGTTTTTAAAGCATTAGAATTATTAAATGTGTTCAAACTTATCTTTAGCAACAAAAACAAGCTTTTTGAAAAATGTCACTCGAAGAGACACGTACCGAACAGGAAAGATGCAAAATTATACATTAGACACAAAATGACCAAAAAGAGACACAAAGTGACCACGAACAGACAAAAAACACCACAAAATATGCATAACAACTACAAAGAGATGCTAAATCACCACGAAAAGACACAAAGAGACAAAATGACCACGAAGTCATAATAAACAACCACAAAGACACACAAACTGAACACAAAGAGACATACAAAACTACAAAAGGAGACCACGGAGAAGTGCAAGAAGGACAGAGAGGAGAGAGAGAAAACGACGGACAGTCGGAGGAGACTTTGCTCAAAAAGTTTCTGGATGTGCATGCAACAAGTGTTCTACCAGGCTCTGTGGCGCAATGGATAGCGCGTTGGACTTCTAGCATTCGAAATGAGCAGTCATTCAAAGGTTGTGGGTTCGAGTCCCACCAGAGTCGGACTTTTAATTATACAGACCAAAGACCAAATGCTCCAAACGGGTTTCTTGTGACTATAAATAATCAGTAATGCGTGAGTGTTTATACTCTGGAGTTAAATTATTTGAACTTTAAATAAGAATGTAAATTATTCATGTCAAATGTCCTCATATGTCTGGTAATATACCAGATGCATGTACAAGAAAGATACTTCGCTGTCTATGGGAATGTGCAAAGATTCGTTATGGGTTAAATATCAAACTCTGTGTTCTTGGAATAGCCTATACCTGGAGAACGTTATAGAAACATATACATATATATATCTATATATAGATATACAGATATATCAAACTGGACCAAAGTGATGCTGCTTGAAGCTGGGCTACATACAGTGTATCTCTGTATCTAGAATATTCATAGGATTCTATGGACACATTAGAATGTTCCAACTCCAGAATGTCAACTGATGTCATAACAACAATTCTGTCACAGAGAACTCTCCTGTCTGCTCATTACCACAAAGCTGCTGAAGTGAAAGCATCACAGTATACTAACCTCAACACGCATAGAGAGAACGAGCACAACGATGAACGAGACAAGTAAAGACCTCCTTGCCGAATTGGAGCTTGCGAAAAACCTGATGAAACGGTCCCCGGGGGAGAGAAGGACGGAGGTCGTAGGACAAATGTATACAGAGCTCAAAGCAATGGAGATGGAGCGCAGGCAAAGAGTTGCTCTGGAGACCACGGAGAAGTGCAAGAGGGACAGAGAGGAGAGAGAGAAAGCGACGGACAGTCGGAGGAGACAGAGAGGAGAGAAGGAGATGTGGCAGGAGGGTCTGGAGAAAATGAAACAACCAGCTAAAGAAAGAGTGGCTTCAGTGGAATGAGGTGATGATGGTGGAGGAGTGCGAAGGGCCTGGAGATACTTTGAGTGCTCTGGAGAACGAGCACGAGGGGAGGCGAGAGGAGGCCGAGCTCTGCCGTCTGCCAACGGTGGGAGACGAAGCCGACCCAGAGAGCCTGGCCTCTAGCCTGGAGACGGCCGGGAGGAAAGAAACTCTGTACAAGAACTGGGTTGGAGAGGAAACAATGGACAGCGACCCCGTCCACACAAACAGCTCCACCCATCTCCTCTTTGCTGCACGGGACCACACGTGTGAAGGTCTGTCTCACGTTCCTGCCATTCCTCTACATTTACCATGTATATGTTTATAAATGGGTCTTTTGTATTTAAATGTTAATTCAACTTTTATCTTCGTCCGTCTTAAGAAAAACCCCAAACACCCAAACACAACGAGATTGGGCAGTGAATGCAGGACAGACTGAGGATCGCCTCCAAGACTGGACGTGCGAGCCAGTAGTTTATGTTCTACTGGAGGATTCGCCACAGACTGAAATCCACTTTCTAATGTACTTCTGTTATTATGTATTAAGCCATGATATAGTTGTGTTGAGTTGAAAACATCGAGTTGTACTGTACCGTCTTGGGTTGGGGTTAGAGGCAAAGATGTGTTTAAAAATATTGAAGTGATTCTATAACAATGTGTTGATTTTGTTTCAATCACACACCGCCGGGCTAGCCGTTTCTCCCCGGTCTTTATGCTGAGCTAAGCGTCTTCTGGCTGTAGCCTCATAACAAATGGACACGTATCAGAGTGCTATCAATCTTCTCCAACGCTCTCTTCTCGTGTGCGGCTCAATATGGGCCCACATCTCCATGTCAGGTGATCTGGTCCTGGTTGGACCGTTACAAAAAAATGATTAACCAAAAACATTCAAGATTAAATTAAACCACATAATTTATTTTGCATGTTTCAAATAACTTGCAGACATGTATTTCAACAGGCTCTAGGGGAATCATCTCCACACAACGGTAAAGACTGACCAACACACACAAGACTAGAACACAAGTAAGACAAATAAAAAATAAACTTAGTAATACTGGTGATGGACGAGACACGTGTTAGACAGGAGGACAGAGGGAATAGTGTTTTAAAAAAAAAGGTTCAGTATGTTACAAGGCCACATGCTAGCACGGTAGTGGTAACAGTACACAACCCAACACCAGGGCAGCTTCCAAAATCCTAGTGTTCTCAGGTCAAGTGTTTTGCATGTATACATGTTACTCTCCATATAAAAGTGTTTTCAGTTGAAGTGCAGTTGTTTTAGTCCGTTCCTTGTTTATGAGGCAGGAATCTGGGGCAGGCCGAACTCATCCACCAAAACGCCATCCTGAAAAACAAAAAAGAAGAATGTAAAGAAAACACTTAAATGACGGCCTTCACATGCGAAACACACCTCATAACACACACACACACACACACACACACACTTTACTTCCATGTACTTTCAATGCTGTAAAGTTCCCAATCCGTGAGTACAATGTCAGTTACGGTGACCGCTGTGTTACCTTATTTGTCTTGCTGTCACTGGGGATTCCCTCAGGGATGGACGGGGCGGCCGAGGCCTCATCCAGGTAGGAGTTGTCATCGTCCAGCAGCAGCTCATCACCCAGAGCGTCCAGCTCTGAAAGCACAGTCACACTGTCACTGGAGTACTGGACACACTGGAGTTAATAGGACAATGACATTGTTATTTTGTTTAGAAACTAAAAGAATACCACAAGGATTTATCCAACTCACTGATGCTTTGGGAGAAAAGATGTCTCTGCTTGTTTCTCCATCTAAACTTTCACGATGGTCGCAAGAGCTGCGTCCCAAATACGGGCATAACCTTGTGAAGTCCGTATTGTCACACATAAGTGTCAAAAAAGGGCCAGTCCGAATTCAAAGGGTTCCCCCTCATCAACCAAAACAACCTCCTGTTACTCAGGTTTAGAAGACACAGCTTGTGTATCATGTAAATCAGATAAACACATGTTATATGGATGGATATGCCATCAACCTGATAGACTTTTGTTCGTAATACGTTTATTAAAAAGTCCGAAATTGTGGTCTCTGTGTTGAAAATGCACAAGATATTAACACACAGGTACTCAAGAAGATCACTGAGGCATCATGGGAACATAAAATCATTTTTACCGTCCCTGCTGTGAGCTTTGTATTCGCACTAACTTCTGTTAAATGTTGGTGGTTTAAATACATTTGAAGTTGCTCCATAGATGAAGGTGTCTGCGCAGAAACTAGAAGCAGAATAAAGATGTCGGAGGCAGTCGGGTATACCTGCTTCCAGATCGTCCTCATCTATCTCTGGAGTGCCGTAGTTGCGGCTCAAGGCCTCTTGCACCTCGCCTGCGTCCTCCATCATGTCCTCCAGTTGGTCCTGTAAATCCTAAAAATTCAAATACACGGGATCACTTTATACGTCCGACATCTCTGACAGGATCAACTGGAGTATTGCTTTTTACTTAAGACCAGCAGTAAGATGCAAATACATGTTTCTTTTTTTAAATTCTGTGTTAGAGTGATTTACCATTTGGTACGTAGCATTCACAATAAATAATAACTCGTCAAACATACGTCAATCTGATCAAGTTTGACGTCCTTGTACGCTCTTTTCATTTCCTTTGCACCGATCTTCATGGCCTCCACCTGGCAACAGAAAATAAGTTGCACAAGTTATATTTAGTCACTGGTAACAAGAACTCTATCGGCACTGAAAGTTTTTTCAGGTACAGACAGATTAACCTCACCCGCCAGATGTTTTATAACACTGACCATTACAAGAAGCCGTCGTTAGAAACTGTTTGGAAAAGCCCAAAAATGACGTGGCAGGTGATTGGATGAACCATCTGTCAATCAAACTCTTACTGTCGCGAGTCGGGAGAAGAGTTTTCCATCAAAGAAAGCCCTCAGTGACATTCTTTGCTCTTCTTTCAGTTAAGAAAAAACTTCTGATACAACTGATGCTGTTGCACGTAACAGCCAGTAGCTCCTGATTGGTCCGTGCTCTGGCTTAAACACATTACTTGAAGCCTGACAAAGATGGATTTTTTGTGCGATAAGAGATTCCGCAACTCTACTTGTGATCTTGTGACATGGTGAGAATCCAGCTGCCGTGCAATGTATGACACACATGCCGATGAGGATCTGGAGAGCAGTACTATGTTCAGATCGTCTAGACTTGACTCAGTCTCAGCTACTTCTCAGTAAAAAACAAAATATAAACTCATACAAAAATAATCTCTCCCAATCAACTTATGACCCACTGAAAGTAAGTGACAGCATCTGTATCTGCAGAGACGCGGCCCTCTGGATTTTCTCTTTTCGTATTAATTCGACGGGTTCGTGACGTTTCTGGGCGTCAGCAAAGAGCCTTTTGGCCCCACATGGGAAGTAACCCCCAGCCAATGACAGCGTGCAGAGTGAGCTGCACTTTGAGGTCATCGGCCGCCTTATTTAGTTCTTTCAGATACAAAGCCGCCGTATTCGACAGATGACAACGGGTTTTTACATCTCTGTGTTTTCCCCTGCTCCTCTCTCTCTCTCTCTCTCTCCTCTGCTGTGTTGTCCATCTGTGTCGGTTGTGCGAAAGTGTGCAGAGGTGTGGCCGTGTGTATTTATGCTAGAATGTAACGGCCGTAAAACAGTCAGAAATAAATGTTTTATTTCTCTGATTCACTACTTTGTTAACGTCGCTCTCTCTCTCTCTCTCTCTCTTCATTCACTCTATAGCTCGCTCGACCATCCCAAACTGTGTTTCATAAAGTGGTGTGGCTCTTACTGTGGTTTTGGTGTCCTTTAATGTCTGGATTGTGTAGTTTGCCTGCTCCATGTTAAAGGACTGCTGAGCCAGCTGCTCTCTTTGACCTTCATACCTGTGTAAAAACAATGCAGTTGGTTTTAAAACAATGGATTTTGCACATCATCATTTTTTAAAGCTCGGTTCTGATTACTATGCTCCCAATACTGGATACTTGAGGCTGATATAGGGTGATATTTGAGCATTTAAAATATACATATACCTCGATAGTGACAAGTTTAAATTAGTCAGTGGTATCAGCCTGATTAACATACAGGTCAGACTCTGTATTAAAACATAACAAAGAGTAAAAACTGTGTATTGTAGGACTCACATTCTCTTTTGCTTCAGGACTCTCATCGCCTTCTGTTTCACCATGTTCTGCATTCAAACAGGGAATAAACAAAACGTGTGTTTTTCTATATTCTCCAAAACAGTCGGGCAACCTTCACAATTCCTTCCAGCTGATTGTGTTGTGAGCGTGTTACCTTCGAGGGCCCGTCTCTCATCTTCTTCATCTGATCCTTGTACTTCACAAGTTCAGCGTCTAGTCTGCCGATCTTCTTCTCTATGGACTCTGATCTCGCATCAACCTGAGTAAGCAGGAGAATAGTTAGAGGAGTCAGGATTTAGCATCCTAGCAGACCAAACACAGTATGTCTATGTCAATATCCTCTTAATATGATTAAGGAGATCTTTCAAAGGGTTTATGTACTCAAAGTCAAAAATAAAAGTCCAGTGTGTGTTCAGACCCATATGTTCAATGCATTCAGTTATGTTGAAATCACTCAACCTACTGATGTTATACTCCTTAAAAACCGACGCCCTTAAATGTGCAGGTATGACAGTTTGACAGCTGACTTGAGACATTAATGTGTCCACAGTGTCTGAATGGATTGTGATTCATTAATAAAGCTTCATCTCTACTTCTCCAAACCAGGAGGAAAAGACACACGAGAGGATGTGTTTATGTTTGATAGCATGTTAGCTTGCTAGCACTGTGTGCTGTTGTTGTGGCCATGCTAGCTTTGTAACGGTACCGTTACCGTTAGATCACGCGACATAAACAACAATACATCTCAGCCTGGTGGTACTCACGTTGCCGATACAGTCCGACAGATTCGGAGGAGGCGTTTTTGGCTTTCCGCGTCCAAATATTCTGTTCATCTTCCAATTGACCACGAAGCTTTTTTAGCTTTCTTTAGAGTATACAAAAAAAAATCAGATGTGAAATGATTTCTTCATTGAAGACACCCGGAAGTAACTGTTCGGACGCAAACGGTTCCCATTGGTCGAACGGTTCCCATTGGTTTCCTTTTTTTTAAACACGCCTGCCCCCGTGTGGTGTGTAGAAGGATTGCAGCTGTAATGAAAACCCATTGTCCCCGTAGACTCTGCATTAATACTATGAAGGACATAAATGAAATCCAATTGATTTAAATTGCAAGCTTTATTTTTGACTTTGTTGCACATGTGTGAAGCGTGGTTTTACGTTAATAGCGGAAACATACGGCAAAAAATCCAACCGATACAGTTAATTTACAATGCAGCAGCACATTATACACACAGTATATGGTGCTCAAACCTGGGCTGAATTCGATCATTTGTTTATGAATACAATCATCATATCAGTATTAGAGGAAAAGTTAAGAAACACATAAGCAACAGTGGGGCGTACTCAATAAGACTTCACTTTTCTTAGAGATAATGCTACAATACTTATACCAGGGTATACTTTAATGCTCGTAAAGGGGAAAAAAGTAATTACAAACATGAATGTTGCTAATTTCTGATCTTTTAGAGCAAGCATAACAGCTAGAGGCCAAATAAGGCACACAAAACTAGGCACAAAAACACATTGTCTGCTATAACTACTGTATCATTATCAGATTTAGACAGATAGACATTCATGTGTTGCTCGACAAAAGCCTTTGATTTCATGACTCCTATAAAGCTACAATAATTAAGGAAACCAAGAGAGTAAATCAGTTTGTTTTTGCTTTTATGAGGATGAACTCCGAAATGCATTGTTAATATTCCCTCAGATGAGCAGAGATTTACAGTATAAACACTCAATTGCACTAAACACCCAAAGGCATGTTGTGTAGATACAGTATAGTATTCTAATGGAGCCCTGTTACCCAGTTTTCACATGTACTAGTAGTTCAGACAAGAACATGTCAGGATGGCAATGCTATGTACAATATTTTACACCTCCTCAATGCAACATCACGGCTGGAAATCTGTAAAGGTGTGGAGCCGTGTCAGATGCAATAATATAATAATAGTTTCTTAAAGCACAACGTTCATCTAAGAACACACTGTTTCGACACCGTAGCCTCATCAAAGACAGCCATCTTGTCAAGAAGGAAATACTTTGGTTCAGTATCCTCTTGTGGTGAAATATAGAGAATGATCCCTGAGAGGTTATTAAATATTCTGCATTCTCCAATAATATATAGACTATTCAGGAATTTACAATTCAGCAAAGCACCAAACTGCAATTCACATAAAACAGGTTTAAAACAATGCTCATAATGAAGTCCCCCCCCAAAAGAAATCAATTACTTGTTTTCATTTTCTGCACAAAATACCAGTTGATCTTTTTATGCATGTGAGAACTTTACTGTATCAATCACCTTTATATGAAGGCCTATAGTACACTTTACAGGTCAGGTAAACAAAATGTGATCAAGCTACGTAATGAAATACTTTTGGTTTGTGTTGTGCTGGACATCTTTTACCATATTTTCATTGTTGACATCAACAATGTGAGAAATAGCACGAAAAAAAGTACCTGTTTTGAGTTATATTTCAGCTTTATACAATACGAAACAATATTCAGTGATTTAGTATCTAGCTGGGTTGTTATAAGATGCATCTTTGAACATCATCGTCACATAGGTGTTATTCCATATTTTTCTAAATATCAACAAATCCCATGAAAACAACAACAACAACAACAACAATAACATGTTCATCTGTTTTCTCAATACTTTCTGATATACTGTATATATAGCTGGGTACTGTAGATTGTGCTAATATAACTCTAACACGAGTAAATTGTGTATTTGTTGGGGACTATTGTCAGTGGTGGATTGATTGTCTAGTGAGTAATTGTGGCAGCAGGACAGTGTACGTGGGATTTATTCAAGCCCTCAGGAAGAGTGCTTGAAAAGCAAATTTTTCATTGTGGCAATTACCGGGTCCATCAAGTGATGCCATGGGCCCCGTTTCTTTTTGCAGTAAATCAACTTCCCAGGGCTCGGAGACGGGGTTAAAGAAAACGCTAGTGCGCTTGCCTTATGGGCCCCATGGATGCCTTATGGGCTCCAAGATCGTCAGAAGAACCGCCTCCAACATGGTGTCCACTTCTCTTTCTACATCCATTGGTTAATACAGAATAAGATAAATGCTCATGTCCATCATAATGAAGGAACATGCCATGTCAATAGTTTTTGGACAAACCAGTAGGATCAATTCGGTGATGGTTTTCATGGGATTAGTTGACAATAAGAAGACTATCACCAGATTATCTTCTCAGTGAATCTGCTTTCTCTGACCAATAAATAAATAACAACTCTCTCTTTAGCTGTTCCCTCAGATAGAAGTGGTGACTTGAGTCAATCCCAGGTCATCGGAGTCCATGGATAGTCATACGGGCCTGGCCTGCCTCATATCTCCTCGGGCTTCTGTGGGACACGAGTGGTCCCGCAGGGTGCTCCTCACCCGGCTCAACCCATGAGAGTTTCTGTGTCCTTTGACGCCAGGGCAGCAAAAATCCCTGAAGCACCTCTTGAAGTTCTCATCCAGGAAGGCGTAGAGGATGGGGTTGAGGCTGCTGTTGGTGTAGCCCAGCGCCACGCAGAAGAAGTAGGCGGCCATGACAGCGGTGGTCTCTGGCACGTTGCCAGAGAGCGCCTTGACTAAGATGAAGATGTGGATGGGCGTCCAGCACACCACAAAGACGGCGACCACCACCAGAACCAAGCGGGTGATCCGGCGCAGGTTGCGGTCCTTCTCGCGTGAGCCTGACAGCAGGCGCACGCTCTTCAGTCGCATGACCATCAGCGTGTAGCAGACGGTGATGATGATGACGGGTAACACAAAGCCAAAGATGAAGACACAGATCTTCATCAGGGTGTCCCAGTAGCTGTAGGGTTCAGGGAACTGAAGGGCACACTCTGTAGTCCCTGTTAGTTGCAGAACAACAGAGTTGACCAGTCACACACATCATGTGTAATCCAGTAAAAACCAACAAGCCTAAGAGTCTACAGCCACGTTAGCGGCTCTGTGACGCTGTTCTTACGCTAATATGGTGATATTAAGCAGGTATGATGTTTACCATGTCACGTCTTAGTTAGGCGTGTTAGCAATCTAACTTTGATATTTAGCACGAAACACAACACTGTGAAAGTTTCTACAGTAAAATGACTGCACATCTATGGTAGCAAGATATCGTACAATTTATAGTATCTCTACTGTATCAAAAGAACACAGCAATGTACTGTCATCAAAGCATACGGTTATTTGTCAGTGGTAAACAGTAAATTACTGTGAAAAGAAGAAAGAAAAAGTGAAAGTACAGCTGAGGCTGGTGGGCGTGTCAAGTATTTGGTCAAAAACCAAAGACATGAAGATGGCGCTAGATGAAAAGTTGAGAACATTTTATTTTAAGGAAGCATTTACAAGTTGTATCTAAACATTTATAACACATTAGTTGTATTTTACGTTAAGTACATTTTTAAGTACTAATTAATCAGCCAATTATAATTTCTCCCATGAGGACATATTTTGTAAAATGATATATTATATCCTCATTGATTATCTGTTTATACATCAGCCGCCACTTATTGGTCCCCACAGGAGACAGTTAAAATACATTATGCTTACAACTACTACAGTGTGTTATAAAACATTTATTAAATGTTTATCAACTATTTATACGTAAAGTAAAGTGTCAACCTCATGGTGATGCTAGAGGAAAAGTCAGGGGATCATCAAAATCAGAAGAATTAATTCTCTGGAAATCATGAATGTCTGTATTATATTAATGACAATCCATCTAATATTTGTTGAGATGTTTCAGTCTGAACCAACGTGTTGAACGGACACATTAAAAACTATAATTAGTAGAATCAGATTCATCAGCTCTAGGCAAAGTGCATTGTGCTTTATCATTGTGAACATGAAGAATCTATCACACTGTCGCTGAAAGAACAAAACCTTCAAGCTCTCTTCTCAATCTTGGAGGACCAATTATGACTGTCATTGCTTCATCTAGTCAGATCTCTGTAATGGGATCTCGTTTAAACCTATACTGAGCATCCTCTTCAGTAGTATTTGAAGGAGGATTCATGCAGATAATTGTGACGGTTCAATTGAGAATTAATGGCAAAGGTAGGCCTACTACAAATGAAGTGGGGCTTCAGGTTTGACATTGCCTGTAAGAGTTCCTTCGTCTCCATAGCAGACAGAGATGTAATAAATCTGAGGGAGATGAGTAGAAAGACCACACCAGTGTGAATGTATGTCATGTCAAGGTACCGTTATTGGTCTTCGTGCTGCCAAGTATCATGGCCGGGATCCCAGCAGCAGACGACAGCACCCAGATGATCACATTGATGATCTTGGCCTTGACGGGCGTGCGGAAATCCAGGGCCTTGATGGGGTGGCACACGGCCACGTAGCGGTCCACGCTCATCATGGTCAAGGTCAAGATGCTGGTGAACATGTTGTAGTAATCGATGGAGATGAAGACTTTGCACGCCACCTCGCCAAACGGCCAGGAGCTGAGCAGGTAGTCGGTGCTCTGGAAGGGCATAGTGGTGGTGACCAGAGCGTCGGCCACAGCCAGGTTGAAGATGTAGATGTTGGTGGCTGTTTTCATTTTGGTGTATCTGTTGTAGGGGGGG